TGTTGTTGTTGTTGTTGTTTTTGATTTTTAATGAAATGTTCGATCTGATATAATTACCAAATACATGTAGTATAAAGGACAGGTAACATGTAATTCATTGGAAACTAACTTTTCTACTACAACATATTTATTAAACTTTCTTGCTATAAGGAAATGCTATTTGCTTGCGTTTCCTGAAACAAATCATTTTTAAAAGTAAAAACACGTAGGATATTTTGACAGACACTTTGTTATGTGCTAGTCAAGGAGAGATAACCCCTATGCGATTGAAAATTGTGAAAATGATGTCCCTTTTCTTAAATAAACTATTAAACGTCAATTAAACACTTTTACCAATTAAATAGAATGTAGTTTTCATGGCTTAAATATATAAAAAAAGTAGATTCTACACTTAAATCATTGAAATGGTCAATGTTCGGAATATGGATAGTTGCTGATTTTTTTTATATCATTATGATATTCAACTATCTAATTACCAGTATATGTATTAGCAACTTGTGCTGTTCAAACGTTTTTGGAATTTTTCAGCGCCACACTCCCTTCCCCCTCACTTTTTCCACTTTTTTGTTTAACGGTTTTCGATCTGAGAGTATTTTTCTCAAAGCCTATTCCATATTATCTAGTGGACTTAAAAGGAAAATTATTAATCACGTTCAGATTCCTTCCGTGGTCAAGCATAAATAATTTCGTAAATAAAGGCAATCATAGAATTTATATTTCCACCATATCGCAAAACAAATCTTAAGAACGTTTCAAACTGTATCTGATTTCAGGCTGCATTTATTGTTATACAGTTAGATGTTCATTTATTTAGGGAATCATATTACAATCTTTTTTCTTCTATCATTCCGAAAATTGAAATTATATCAAAATCTGGAAACTAACTTATATCAACTTCTACTTTCAGGCGAGGTGTTATATTGACAACATTCATTGTATGTAATTCCTCAAAACAATCTCTATATCACCTGATTTAATCTACAGTTTCAGCCATTTTAATTGTTTATTTTGTAAGAATTGTCGTTTTTGATTTATTGCTACCGTCAGTTTTCATTGCACTGTTTGGCGACAATCAAATTCGGATGGCCGAGTATACGCTTGATGACGTTGATTTCTTTGATCAGTTGTTATCGATCAGTAAATCATTTGCCTTTCACCAACAACAGAAAGTAACAGTTTCTGTTTGTAAGTATTTATTATAAATATTAACTCTTTTCACTTCCGTGTTTACAATCGTGGGTTTAAATTAAATACGTCCAATATGGATGCGCGATATTTCAAAACCTTCCTCCCCTTAACAATATCATCGATAATTTATTATAAGCAGACGATAAAATTTAACTTTTTAGTCAAAGACTGAATTTATAGACATGTTATAATTCTGATAAAAATTCTAATATGAATACACGCAAATATCATCAACAATACGACTATTGAAAATTGAAAACTTGATGGAAAAGCTACAATGCATTGCGCTAACAAGCTATTAAACAAATTTATTTTGTATAATAAGTTTTGTCTAAACATTTAAAATCCTGCTCAAGAAAGTAAGTATGTTTACTAAGAGATATCCAGACTGGGGTTACTAAATTTTTGACATGATACTCACTAGACCAAAATCTTATTAATAAAATACCCCTTAAGCAAAAATGTCATTATAACGTCTATTTAGATGTAAGTTGTAAGTACGCCTGTGCTTCGTATCGTGTTAGATATCAAATATTTAAAACAAATGTTTATCTTTCAGAAAAGACAGACACATTTCTCACCAACACATCATCTAGCAGCTAGCCAGAGAAGCAGCCAACCTGGACTGGAGCCTGGACCAAAAGACACGCTGTATGACAAGTTGCAGAAGAGATCATTGCATACCCATTACAGGAAGAGCCCGTATGTCGAGGGCTATGATTCGGGAGTAAGTACGGATGTTTTTGGGTAGAAAAGGTAACCATTCGATTACCCTTAAATTTTATTATAATTATACATATAACAACCACATAAGATGTCACAAAACATGATTATTCAATAGTTTTATAGTTAAGTAAGATATTGCGACTCAGGCCAGCAAAAAAAAACTATAGAAGGGTGGTTCGAGCTTATCAAGAATATGTTCACGAGTAAGCAGTTCGAGAACAAGTAGAGACAACTAACTTTTTCACTAAAGTAAACGTTTTGTTTTTAAGATCCCATTAAATAAAATATGAAAATTTAATTCCCTTTTTAAAAGATGTTCAACTTCATCTCTTATCTAGTGGATATTTTTGGACTTACAGATAATTTTTTGCAGACGAAGAATAATGTCAGGAAAGAAAAGAAAGAAGGTAAAGGTTTGAAACAAACGGACCCACCCGGTTTTGCGTAAACAGTATTACATCCTGCGAGTATATAATATACAACATTTTTTATTGGCAAAAGGCAGAATCTTACCAACTTTGATCATGTGCAAAGTAAAACATACATATTATACACATTTATTTTCATGTTACAGATATTGCTAATGTTTTTATTCTAATTTATTTAAATTAACACCCCGTCCATGTATTGCTCTTGCGTCCTGTCCTGTTTCTGTTGTTTTCCTTTGCCGGTGTTCCTGTGTCGCCGGGCCATGCTGTGAGATGCGTTTGTTGAATGTCACCCTTCCTTGTTGATCCTTTTTTCATATCTTGATTATTCGACACATATGTCATTAACATTATCAAGCAATAATTAAATCAATTATTCTAAGCGTTTTGTAAATGATTTTATAATTAAATAATTATTGAGTTTACCCTGTACATAATACATGTAATTGCATTAAAAGAAATTAAGTCATTGTTTCTAGTAGGGTTCAAACCTGAAACAGCAATCAGCAATCGAGTAAAGACTTGAAGGAATCACTTTACTTCTTTAAATATCAAATTAAATGCTTAATCATCACCGCCGTACGAACATATATGTCCATGTTATTAATTCACCATTGAAATAAAATCAATTAATTTTAAAAAAGTATACACTTACAATTCTTATAATAAATTGTTACTGTACAAAACATTTCTTTTTTATGTAAGTTAAAGATAAATTCATTTATGAAGGTATTTTACAATAAATAATGCAAATTGTTCATAAATATAACACGTATATTGCTTTTGACTGTACTAACATGTTTTGTGAAGAGGTTGCTGAACATATATAAATGTTCCGAAGCGTGCGTGTTAGTAAAGCTTTATAAAGAGCTTATGGCCTATTCAGTATTTCTGAAGCGTCCAATTACCCGGTAACGAAATTATGAAGATGATGTTGCTAAACTGTCTGCATATGACAATGTTTACTTTGGTATCTCGTTCATGGATACAACAGTCTCTGGGCATATATCTGTCAAGTTGATGATATTTACATTGGACTTGATAACTTACATTGATTTTGAGTCATAAATGACCTTTATTTCAAGTTTTATTTTTATTTATTTTTTATTGATTTTCGTACATTAATTTATGTAACTGGCTATAACTTTATTATGAATTGGCATGTCGCATACAGAAACCGGTAGAGATTTCATCATAAAGTACAAAATTAAATGGCAATGCACTTTCACAGTGCAACTGTGTGGTTTAAGGTTGTTTTACATAATTTATTTCAAATTATCCCCAGAAGACTTATTTTCTTTATTTATTTATCTCCCTTTCACTTCTTTAACGACATAATGGTTAGCATATGATAATAAGGATGCTTAGACAAATGAGATTGCAGATATTTATATAAAAACATATTTAATAATTTAGTGTACATTAACAAAGACTGAAAATTATTAGACCTAAGCTACATCAAGCAATCCCAATTTTAATGGACAAACCATTGTTACATATTAATATTTAAACCGATTTCTTGTCCGCAAATGGTAACATAATAAACAAGTTTTGATTTGATTAGTATTAAGCTGTTAGTACATTTAACATTTTTGTCTAGAATAAGTATTGTCAAGTATAATTATGCAAGTTGATTCTCTGAGGATTATTGTAAAGTACTGTATGGTACGAAAAAAATGCATTATGGATAACGACGAAATCGACGATGTAAACAGGTGTATATATTTCAGCAAAGATAATTAGTGTACACTTATAAGATTTAATACACTCAGTTTAAACACAAGCACACAAAACATGAATAGTTCTGTTTCATTTGTATTATTTTAAGTTTGGCAATTACAACGCAATCTTTTTTTATGTATTGATCAATCATTCAATAACAAAAGCATATTAAAGTTCTTAAATAGTTACAAGTATATAATTTTTGTTAGACTTTAATTTGCTTTTGACACCTAATCAAGCATTCCAATTATTTTGATACAATAGAAAAGACTTCATGTTACAAAGAATTGATTTACATGTTTAAAGCAAATGTAAAGATAAGGCTTCTTTTGCAAAGCACACCTGGCATGCTATTGAATGCTGTCGTGTATTTCAAAAATATGAATTCAATCCCATACTCTCCTGCAGAGTTATCAAAAACAAAATTAACGTGGGAATCCGGCTAAAGTATTTTTTACAATAACATTTTTTTAGATTAAATAGTTCAATATAAAATTGCAATTTAATTATGGTCTGATCTTGTAAACTTTTAACAATAGTCAGCAGTAATTGGCCGTAAATAGTTTGTGTCGATATATCGCCTGGTTTGATTCATGGACTATTCATGAGCTTAATCGATATTCATCAAGACAATAAAGTTTACAAAAACAATGTTTCCATATGATTACAGAGGTGTCTTTTCTTTATCTATTCAGCTAAGCGTTTATTTATGTACTATCAAAAAACAAAACGACAAAGAATTTATAAAAAGAATTAATGACCAGATCATATATTAACTTAAATTGTTATAACGAGATTGATTATGTCATTGATTTCATATTATCTCACGGCCATTCACATTTTAAAAAAAGCAATACTTCATTTTTTACATACAGTCTTGTGATCAATTGTGACTATAATTAAGACATTTCATGTCGTTTGAATGTTTCATTTGTGTGTCGCCTCTTCAATTATGGCTTGAATAACAAAGAGCCTTATGAAAGTCAATTGCTTGTTGCAGCTACTGTGAAGCAGGAGGCTCGAAAGTTATTAACAGGGCAAAACGCGTGTTGTTGTTTTTGTTCTTTTTTTTTTTTTTTGCTACTGTAGGGAAGCGCGAAAATTATTAACAGAGCAAAACGCGTTTTTCTTGTGTATTTTTCCCCCCGAATTTTCTGTCCCCATTCCCCTGTGCCCTTTTGCTTAGTTGGCCTACTAATCATTTATTTTTTTTCTTTTATTTTGATTTCCTAGTCGGTTACTGTTATTTGTTATGTATCATTTTGGTGATGGGCCTGCCCGTGCTCTCCCTTTTGTTTGGGGTCCCCCTGGATTCATTGCCGCTGGTTCATGTTGCTGGATCATGTGGGGTTGCGTTGATTGAACGCCACCTTTTCTTGTTGAAAATCCTTATTTTATGTACAAGTACTTGAGCTACCGATCAATCCTGTAAAATTTTATTTAAATTGCATATAAGTGGTATAAGAAAGTCCGGACATAATTTTTTAAAAAATCAATAAACTCTGACAAAAATCATCGAACTAAAAATGCCGACGATATGCACAACTTGACTTGGTATTTATCATTTTCTGTAAAGTGTGATGAAAATGCACAGTAGTTTCTGAGAGGAGTAGTCCAGAAAAGGATCTGTGTAGCTAACAACACGAAAGAATACCTTTTTATTCAAGCGCAATAACTAGGCAAAAAATTATTCAACCGAAAAACTCGTGTTATGTGTGCAAGTATATGCGCTACTTGATAATTCCAGTTTAGTTTCATGATTTTGAATTAGTGGTATAAAAGGAGTCGTGCAGACAAATTTTAATAGAAAAAGTAATAAAAGGATCTTAACTCTGACAAAAAGCATTGCATCGTAAAATGACGATCGATATTACACACAACTAGGCTTAGTACTGATTATTCCTGTAAAGTTTGGATGAAATTGCACCAATTATTTCTGAAAAGTAGTCTGGGCAAATTTCTTTGTAGTTGATAACACATAAACACTTTTAACCAGAACTCAGCCAAAATATTTTAACCGAAAAACCCGTGAAATATGTGCAGGTCTTTGAGCTACAGATCATGTAAAGCTTCATTAATATTGAATTGCATTAATGATATAAGAGAAAATGTCTGCAAAAGCTTTGAAATAAAAACTTAAAAGTGTCATCACTCTAACAAAAATCTTTGAACCGAAAAATGCTGATGATATGCACAACTGGACTTGGTACTAGTCATTCCTGTAAAGTTTGGATGGAATTGCACGAGTAGATCTTTAGTTGAAGTCCGGACATATTTTGTTATGAACAGAAAGACAGACAGACGAACATACAGCAGGGAAGTAATCCCTATGTGTTGCCACTACTCTATAGAAGCAACACAAAAAAACGCGTTTTGGCTTCTTAATGATTTTTGTGTCTCCTGTTACACAGTAGCTGCAATATGCAATTGGTCATTATGAGGCGACACATGTGCCCTCTGATCGCTCTTGTTGGTACATATTGTTTACGAAAGATTTGATTTTCTCTGTTGCTGTCTTGTTCATGTTGCAATCATACATAAGATTTTCCTTCGTGAAAGCCATATCAATAAAATGTATGTTGTTATAGTCATCCGTTGGTTGGTCAAGCCTGGTTTCAATTGGCAATCGAGGCAGCGAATCTTCTCTTGTCATATTGATAACAACAACTGCAAATCTACCTGGTACTGAAATATAAACGGTTGTGACATTTTAAGAAGAATTATTGATAACTGCCCTCTTACTCAACAACGACAATAGACAAAAATTAATATTGCCATGTTGTAAGTGAATCTTACAAAGTAACGACTATCTCTTATGAAATGTCTTTGCTCAAAAACTGATTAAAGTTTTAAATTCTGATTAGACAATGAAGATGGCGATGTTTTTGTAAAATCCTTTGCGTACTATTAAGGTAAGGTTTAAGGATAATTCTTCATACCTAATAAACCACATATTTAGGTTTTAAGTTCATAAAGGCGTCAGAGATTGAAACTGTACTATCCAAGACACATAACTCTAGTATAAATTTTAGAATATTTTAGTCCTTTGTGGACTAGTGAAAATACTGGTCAATGTTTTCCATAAAATTACTATATACATGAAAATTTCAGATAAGTCACCAGGGTACTAGCTATAAGTCACTGACTAAATTAACGCTAAATTTTGTATTTAATGGTCTTTTTAAACGTTTGAAATATCTGCATTATCTAAGATCTCCTTGACAACCACTGGTAACTGAGAACGGTAACAATTACTTTCAATGTTGGCATGTCAGTTTTTGCTATTTAATAATTATGTGACTCATTTGGGCCTAAATTTAATGGAACATAATCAAAAAATACCTGAAACTTTACAGCCAAACCCGTAAAATACATGTTACTTATTGTTATGACTTTGTCGTGACACGACACTAAATATCTCACAGACTTGAGAAACGAATCATTTGCGCCAAGATTTATTTCAAATGTTATCGATTGATTTACAACCTTTGAACTACTTTTGGTAGTTCTTTAATCTTAGAGGATTAATACTTCTGTGTTCATTGTTTGACATGTTGTAATCATTCTTTTAAGTAATCTGTGTCAAAATTAATATTTCTTTGTGTACATGTATATTGCATCTCTTTTGAAAAACAACATAAAACATTGTTTTGATATAAATATGAGTAAAAATGTTTCAATACATGTATTTATGTGTTTCTGTGATTTCTGTTAAATAAAATACAAAATTGTATTATTTCGAATCATTGAAAGGTTAAACTTACGTGGAAATTGTTGCAATTCTTTTAGGACAAACTCAATGTCTGATTTTAGTCTAGAGTAAATTGGACAAAGAACAACCAGAGGGTAATTGTCTTTAAGCTCCTCTTTCCCCGTAAGAAATACACAAGTTATGGACATTTTTGACAAAAGTTTGGAGAATTCTTCTTCAATTATTTGAGTAAGATTGTTCCGTGTACCAGACATATAGACGTAAACACATTTCATCTTCTCGCGAGAACTGGTCATTCCTAAAATAAATCAGAAAATTATTGTTTAGATCGTCTTTTATTTTCTTAGTTACATCTTGCCGAACAAAGTATTTGTTTTATTGTTCCATCAAAAGCGAATGACAAATTATGTTTTCTAATTTTGAAATATTTAACTGCTAGTAATTGGAATGATTGATGAATGAGATTTGTTATGAACTTTTTACCATATCTCTTTTGTTTATGTTTTTATTTTTACATTTAACAATATTTGTTAACTGACAATTAAACATTTTAATAAGCTTTATTTACTGTCCACAGATTAACACAATCTACGAATTCATGGAACCGGGCAAAAAGGCTTTCGTTTCAGATATCGGTGAAACAAATTATTACCAATTGGTGGTTGTCTTAATGTGTATATAAGTAAAGTACTGTACTCTTTTAAAAGGGAAAATTGATACCTAAAACCTTTTTAGCTCGATTCTTGTTTTTGCAAAGAAATAAAACTTTAATTTTTACTAAAAAGGGACTTATTTAGTTATTAAGTAATTTCTCAATTTCCAGACCTTATCAATACCTATAGCATACTTCTCGTATTTCCTGAAAACCTTCGTTTTTAGTACTTTTCGGAATAATTTTAAAATGAGTATATAATAAATGACAATGAAAAAGAAGAAAAAAACGTTTTACCACCCTTAACAATAAGACAATAAATGTAATATGCAATACAGTACTGTATTACAAAGTTATTTGTTATTCGTATAACGTTGACCAATTCTCACAACACGTTTGTAAATGTTGAAGCACCTTTGGTATGACAATTATGTATTTTGCATATTTATGATTCTTTCTGTAGGGGACATAACAAAAAAACACAAAGTTGTACGAAAATGCAGTCAGAAGAAAATATATTTTCATTGATATTCTGCAAAACAGGTGCATTGCATCCGATGACAAGAAGTCACTTTGATATTGCCTTGCATAAAACAGTAAAAATTATCACAAACCATTCTTGTTTTCAAATTGAATTATGATGATTTGTAAGTAATAATATTGGAAATAAGGTTCGTGTGATTTAATTCAATGTATTTTAAGAAGATATTTTTTTCCATAAAACATCCAATCATGTAACTTACTTTTCTTTGTTCCGCTTGGTTGCCCCTCTTCAAGTCTCATTCTTGATTTCTAAATGATATACGATTGACGTGAATAACAAGTATTAATTATCTAATGAGCATTTGCAAATGCAGATTATGTTTGCCACATAGTGACGGCATTATTAAATGTAATGTGTAAAATCATTTCGAACCCCCCCCCCCCCCCTAAAAAATTAATAAAATATAACTAGTAACCGGAATAAAATGAAAAACTATAACATAATATTCAATGGCATGCGTAATCAAGTCAATAGATATTTATGACAAAAGGCAGAAACATAATACACACATGATGGTTGATTTATGTAACAAAAACATGTAAAAATGCAAAAGGGTGAAATTAAGGGCAACGGGCGAATTGAAAAATGTTAGACTCACCCAATCAAGCAGAATAAATTCAGAGTGTTGACGTTTTTGTTCTTTTTACACAGAGATTACATGACGGTAAATAAAAATTTGCCACAACACTGCCTTGTCATTATGTGTTTGAGATGGCATTGGACAAAAATACTTATGATTATTGTTGTTTTGTTTTTTTGGAGGTTTATTTTGCTCTTGTTCTTTTAGTAATATTTTTTTATTTTGTTTTTTTTATTTATTTATTTATTTTCATTTATTGTGTTTTGCTTATATTGATTTTTGCCAAATGACAGAACAACCATTCATATAATGGCATATTGATACTACACATTGTTGTCAAAACATTAAACAGTAAAAAGAGAAAACCCTAACCTCGATACACTGGAGGATTTTGGATCCGTCTTCCCTTTTCAATATCAAAGTATCTCTTTTCTAAAATTATCAATATATGAAAGATTAAAATCTTACACAATGCCAGTCCTTACATGTTAGATATAAGGAAAAAAGGTATTAGAATTATGGCGACACTTTTCAGATTCGAATGTGTATTTTTAAAGTTGTTTACACACTTTCGTGCTTACAATTTTAATATTAAGGAAGGTTTTCAATATTAATCATTTGAGCCGGTTTGTAAAGAATGTTTTCAGTTTTTTTAAAACACTTTTTGTCCTCTTTATAGAACTAGCTTTTACTCGTTACATTTAAAATTAGCAAAACACTACGGTACCTGTTATTGGCTTTAACAAGAGAACTATGGCCTATAAAACTATTATAATAATAATTTATGTTCGTATGCGCTGTTTATCTCGGTAAACTCATTCAAAACAGCAAATTATAGACTTAATTGAACAACTCAGAGACGTCATTAAAATCTATTAAGTAAATGTTCTCAACAGAATATACTAAATGTCACTGTGCATTTATATACATCAATAATTATTAAATTTTCTATCCATACCTTTGCCAAAACGTCAGATCAACATTGAATAGTAAGTTATGATAAATGTCTATTTACTTAACGTTAAAATAAGCTTACGATTATGTCTATCTTATCTTAAATATATAAGAAAATAATCACTTCAAATAAAAACAATTTATCAAAGAAATTCAAAGAAGTGAGTATTATATAAATTATGTGAAACATGCACTTACACTGGTAAGACTTTCTTTGATAGCTCCGTCAAGACATTTCCATGCCCGATTTAATTCTGCAATCAAATTATCCTGCAAATTTAGAGATAAGTGTATGAGAAAATATACTAAGTTAATATGTGTTGTTCTAAATTTTTCATTCATAATCAACAATTTTAAATTTAATGATTTAAATCAAGATTGCTTTTATATTTCATTATAGTCTCATCTTTACATACATACAAAACGTTGATATTAAGACCATAAACAAACAATATTTCGCCGTTTTCATTTTGTGTGTGTTTTTTTTAAATATAAAATATTGGCTTTTCCATTGCTGATAACTTGTCAGCAAATATCATGGAAGTGTAAACTTAATGCAAAATTATCATATTTATACTTAGATAAAAGTAAATAGTATGCAAAATTCCATCAGTCTACTAAAATACAAAATACCAGTTGTCACTAGTTTAAGGATTAGAAGATTCTTGTCTTAACTTAACATTCATTACTTACACAAACAAGACATGTGTCCATAGGACACTTCATTGTTTTGTCAATCATATGACTCTAGGTCAACTATTTTTGGGCTACACGCGCCACAAGTTGAAAACTAAAAATCAGTTACTAAGTAAAGGGCAAGAATTTTACAAACACTGAAAAAGACCACAAGCAAACCCCAAGGTGCATAAGTACACATGCTGGCCAACATTTTTGTACACTTTTCAGGCCTACAGATCAAATACGTTTTGAGCTATACATGCACAAGTTGAAAATTGCAAATTTATACTAAGTCTTGGGCAATACCTCTAACAAAGCTGCGTGCAAAACCTCAGGTGCATAACTTCACAGTGATAATAATAATAATAATAATGATAACAAAATCTTTATTTACAGAAGGTAACATACAATGTTTACACAGTAAGAAGTATACTTATAGAGAATAACATGCTACTGTCTTTTAATATCAATTTTATCAGGCAAGGCTGATATGGGCTAGAAAGGGCGAGGCTTGCCGAGACCTTTCTGCCCATATCAGCCGCGCCTGATAAAATTGATATCAAAAGTCAGTAGCATGTTTTTCTATTTGTCATGTAACACATAAAAACTGTCAAAATAACAAAATAATCTACTTTAAAATAGCGAATTTCGTAAAACAAGGGGATTAGTGTTCAAAGAAATAATTCTTGAAAACAAATTCATCCGCCCCTGAAACTTAGAATTTGTAAATGGCGGCCATTTTTTTCTTTCGACTCGGATAAAAGATACAACAGACTGTAGGCCTAACACGATAAAATTCTGACCTTTAATTTAAACATCGATCCAAAAATTCCCTTAGAATAGAATCACATTTATAAACATTACTGCACTTTTTGTCTTGAATTGTCAAATTCAAAAGTTCACGATAATTTCAATCAAACATAAGTCAAATCGGCAATCAAACACAAGCTACACAAACATGCGCATATTTAAACGAAACAATGTGTTCACTTATTAAATAATCCGGCGAAATAGGTAAACATTCACAAGTTCTCAAAGAAAATCGTCTAGCCTGTTTGTTATGATTACATGTATAGTATGACGTGGCCATTGATGATGTCATTTGCAATATAAATTATGACGTCACTTCATTTAGTTTGTGCTAAAACTATTCGCTATCTATTTTCTTCGTAATTGAAATCGAAATCGAAATAATAAATAAATAAATAAATATCGCATCTTGATTCAAGACTTGTAAGGGTATGAGATTACATTGTAGAACTCACATGCTGATAAAAAGGAGAATATAAGCAATTGAAAAAAGTCCGTTAAAATGGGCGGGATTATTTTTGATATCAGAGTACTGACCTGATATCAAAAATAATTATCAGGCAAGTGTTATCGGGCAGTTACCATAGCAGATGCATGATAAATTTTCAGTATGGCCTTCTGATTTAACAATAACGAAGAATAAAAAAGTAGATCAATACAAAATTTAAAATCTTTTTGTATAAACAAAAAAAATATATATATATTAAATTCTTGAATATAAAGGTTAGATATTTTTATTTATTCATATGACTGACACTCATATTAACTAAAGTAATTGTAGATAAACTCGTAGTGATGTTGATCATTATTCCTGTAAAGTTGGTTGATTATATCTTAAGCACTCAAAGAACAAATAACACAACATTTTCACTAAGTCAAGAGCAATAATTCTGACAAAACAGAAAAAAGTCACAAGCGAAGTCCACAACTTCAGTTTTTGAGCCAAGTGCGACACAAGTTGAAAATTACAATTTTTTACAAACTCAATGGGGCAATGACACGACAAATACTGAATAAATCCACACGAAAATATAAAGGTGCACAAGTTCACATGAAACACAAAATGAGAACGGATAGCCGGCCGGACGGACGGACCAATAAGGGTAAAACATTCTGGAAACAAAGTGATCCCCCGGAAGCATTAATCACCACAAAATATCATAAGAAATGCAGACTCGGTTTGATTGAGTCTGTACATGAGGGATAATGAATAAGTGCAACATCCCTCACGCCCCCTAGCACCGGCTTGAGCGGTACTCAATTCTCAACACTTTATAGTGCTGGCATCAATGATCCCGAAGGACCAGAAAATATAACAACACTGAAGTGAAGTACGGGACAACTTTTTACGGCTGCCACACGGCAATTGACACCTGCTGTTGTGAAGTACAAAATTCTGGAAACAAAGTGATCCCCCGGAAGCATTTATCACCACAAAATAACATAAGAAGTGCAGACTCGGTTTGATTGAGTCTGTACATGAGGGATAATGAATAAGTGCAACATCCCTCACGCCCCCTAGCACCGGCTTGAACGGTACTCAATTCTCAACACTTTATAGTGCTGGCATCAATGATCCCGAAGGACCAGAAAATATAACAACACTGAAGTGAAGTACGGGGCAACTTTTTACGGCTGCCACACGGCAATTGACACCTGCTGTTGTTAAGTACAAAATTCTGGAAACAAAGTGATTCCCCGGAAGCATTAATCACCACAAAATAACATAAGAATTGCACTGTTTGATTGAGTCTGTACATGAGGGATAATGAATAAGTGCAACATCCCTCACGCCCCCTAGCACCGGCTTGAGCGGTACTCAATTCTCAACACTTTATAGTGCTGAGTAAGTTTGAGTAAGTCTAAATGCTCCCCCCTAAAGTGGGGTCACATACAGTGATCTTATGAAAGTTGCTAGAAAATATCATGCATATGCACATGTTTGAAGGTTTAAAACAACAATATTACAGCAGATTGTATAAAAAGTGTATCAAACACATGTGCAACTAAGAAGTGTATACATGCTTTATTTTCTATACAACATGTTTGTTATTTTCTTAAGTATCAGAATTTAGCAGATAATTGAACAATTCTACTCGTCTTCGTTGAAGTCAGAGCAAAACACATACACTTTCTTGGATAAATAGGGTCGCAATTAGATTTGTATGTCCATCCGTTCTAGATCAACATGTGAAGCTGTGTACCTGGCGTTTTGTGTGTGGATTTCTTTCAGGTTATTGCCCTTGAAAAATTTACGATTATCAACTTGTTCGTAAGTTTTTGCACTTGACTTAGTAAAAGATTTGCAATTTTCAACTTGTATTGTGCGTAGCCTTGGAAAATGACCTTAAGTCAGTATATTTACAAAACAGTGGAGTGAAGGGCATCTGTGTCCTATTGGCACATTCCTAGTAATTGTGAACCAAAGGCTTAATTTCATTCCATGTCTCAAGCCATTGTTGCCTTATGAGTATACATGTATCAACGTGTACCTTTCATTTCATGGCTCCATTTTGTACTGTATCAATACACGAAAACTGTCTTGACTCCCGTGCAGATGCAAAGGCAATACAAATTAGGGAAGAAATAGAATAACACCCCAACCAACAGCCCAATATTTGGCAATAAAAAGGCCAAGTGCTCGATCTGCAGTCGTGCTGTAGCATTGAAATTTAAAACTCATCTAAGACTTACACCGAGCCTGCAATATTTTTAATTCTGCCGTGTTGGGCTTTCGTTAGGGATTCTGCTTTTCTCTATTTTATGGTCACATCAGTGTTATGTGATCCATTTGGCGGCTGTAAAAAGTATCCCCGTACATTTAATCAAAGATGTTATATTTTCGACCCTTGAAGATCGTCAGCACGACATAATTGTTGTGTATACATTTTATGTGTTTTTTTTGTTCTGCTATTTTGGCATTTTAAACGTATCACTTATTGTGCGATCTCACACTAAAGCGGGAAGCAATCATTTAAAACTGATGTTTTATCTAACCTGATAGCGCAAATAGTTTGACCGTAACCGCGAATTTAAAACCAATGATGGTAACGCACGACCGACACAGAGCGTCAATTTGCGCTGACGATACGTATATATTACTATATTCCATATTTAGATTTTAAAAATACACTTAAACGTCATTTGTCAGATAAATGCCTTCGTTTGAAATTCGTTTGCCGTTGCAATCAGAATTTAAACCACACTAATTAAAGTAGTCCTAGCGTTAAAACTAATGAACTAATTAAAATAAGATTTTGTCACAAAGAAGATGAGACACCGTTTAAAACGAACGAATGAAAACTTGCTTATGTGCATAATTTCCGTACTGCCATCTTACCCTATTTTAAGTTTATAAAAATAGTTTCAGTTCTTTTTGAGTTATTACGTATTCAAGTTTTTGTGAAAGGATGGAGTGACTGACTTATTGACTGTCTGACTGACTGACATACGAATGGACTGAGGGTAAACCTTAGTCCCTTCCAGTTTAATATTTTTTTTTTTAATCGTTTAAGTCATTTTACTATTTTACGAATTTAACAAAATTATTAATGCCCTTAAAATATGTTACTATAACAGTCACAATCAAAAATGTATATGCGATACATTTATTTTGATATAATGACAACTGTCCCCTGGGTTGTATTATCTAATTATGTTCTCGTATATATGATACATTATCATTCAGCAAAAATATATACTGAGATAATAATAAAGTTCATTGCAGGTGCGAGTTTTCCAGCAATCAAGTGACAGTTAAAAGGACGGAAGTTTGTATCATTACAGGTCTTTACAACCATCCACATTTAAAAAGAAAGTATGATGCTGAAATATATATAGCCAACAGATCTGCCGTTAACGTCATATTTAAGGTTATACCGTGCGGCAGATCGCTCTACATGTTCATGCAATCAACAGCATGTTTTTGTTGATTTCTTTTTTGGATCTTGTCGGGGATAGATTCCAATTTATGTTTTATGTAAATGCATTTATGAAAAATTTAAATTATACCATACACAAATTTGTCTTGAAAATTATGTGTGAGGCCATATCATAAGATGGAAAAAATTGATTTTGTTAATTATAAGATTTCTTATCATTTTCTGAAAAATATAAAAAATGCCACAACACAACATTTTTTTCTCAAAATTATGTGTGAGGCCAAGTTTTAACATGGAAAAACACGATTTTGATTTTTTCCAATATTTTCTATCGTTTTCTGTTAAACTGGTAATGAATCATCTATCGGTTAATTTTCTATCATCCTTCGTTAAAAACAAAAATATATTTCAGATATTTCTTTTCAGTATGAATGATACATATTTAAGGCTTGTAAACCTTTATACTTAATAACGGATTTTTTCTCTATTGAATTGTTACTTAGAGACAGCAAATTCAATTAATTAGTTTAGCCTACTTGAATTTACAGGAGACAAAAGTGTAATAACATCTGTGAATAGCATTATCTGTATATGGAACAGTAGTCAATTCATAAATGATAGTAAATGCCTTACATTCTCTGCCATGTTGCTCTTGATCTGTACCATAGGCTTCCTGCAAATATATATATATATATATATGTTAACAGATTATTTCAATATAAGCCCGAATGCAAATTTGTTTAACGTTATCAAAAACAATTTCAAATTGGAGTGAGTCATTGCACCTGTCCAGAACATGTTTTATTACAAATATCAATACAGTAGTACGCACTATATTGAAATATGCTAAATACAATGCCTTGGCATACGAAAACTAAGAGATACATATGTATGCAATGGTTTAAGTTAAAATAACGATAATGTTGACCTTCAGTAAAAAATCACGCTCAGTTTTGTGACGATTTCTATTTTGATGCACGGGATGCCAACGATGCCATTATATGCATCATGAAGAAAAATAATGCTGTTCCCTTTTCAATTTTGAATGTGAATGAGAAATACCCCCAAACCGATGAAATATGAACTACAATATTAATACATTGTAACATTCAGCAAATGAAACGAAATAGATCAATTTATTTTATTTTGCCTTTAAGGGTAAGATACTATTAAGACAAAATGAACACATTATAACTAAGTGAGACCTAGACCTGAGGAAGGTTAAACCTACGATCTTCACATTGTGGTTACTATTCTGTCTAGTATTTTTCAATTCCTTCCACCGATTAAAAAACAGACCGGACACGAATCTTTCTAACAGATGGACGGACGGACGGACGACTATATGCATAACATTATACACCAAAGGCACACGCTGAATTATTAAAATTGTATTGTATTTTGAAGCATCGTGGAGAATTATATCAAAAATCTTAACAACAATAAGTATGTTAAATATTGAAATGTTTTAATTTTATATGGTTGTTCAACTTGCGAAAATATAATAAGCTGTAAGAGATATTTTAAAATTATATGATGTTTGAATATATTAAGCACAAGGTAAACGATAAGAAAATCTTTGAAAATACTTTAAAAAGCCATGATTTATACAGTTAATAAATAAACTTTTATTAAAGACCAGTGTAAAGCATAATGTCTGTATGCATTGAATATGCAACACACATACTAAAATAAGAGTGAATAATGTGATACAAAACAAAACTTTTAAATTACCATTCTTAATATCTCAAAATCTATGTGTGGAGGTTGAAATTAAACTTTGCCTATACATAATATAAGTATTATCTCTATGTTTAAAGGATTCTGATTCTGACCTTACTGAATTTGATGAAGGGTTTGGTAATACAACAACTTTACCACTTCCCAAGATATGGAGCAGAGCAACACCGCCTGACTTTTATTATTGACGCATTCTCAGTTCTTTAACTAGCGAGTAATCGTTTTAGGTATTTTTATCTTTTTATCTCAATTCCTTTTTTAACTCAAATCCATATACAACATCACTACAACAAAAGTCTATGATCATATCAATCTATTCATTTATACAAAATATCTTTTCACGACCGACTACGCCTTTTATATGTAACAATAGTAAACACCTCGCGACCCAAAACTCTAAACAAGACAATAAACATCGCCACAAAATGAAGAACACAAATTGAATTATTTTAAAACTCAATATAATATCAACCACAAACATTCAACAAAAAAATATCACTTCGCAGCATTTAATAAAAAACAACTTAAACCATAGCAACTTATGTTTACAGAATATTTTTAAAAAGAACCGAATCATCAACTGAGAAAATACTGACCTGACAAAGTTCCGCAAACAATACAGCCTCTATCAACCGAAATGTTTAATAGAACTTAGCAACCAATTTTAATTCAACAACCAATGAACCCAGATCATTTAATATCACCATGATAATAAGGTTCAACCAAATTCAAAATCTCCTTAAAACAATATCCTCTTCTCTAACATATAAACACTTCATATTAAAAGCCATATAAATAGTATTTTGATTAAATGTTTGTACGCTCTAGGGAAAAGAAGAACAAAAATTTTGTAGCGAAAAAAAATTCCGAGTTTCCAAACTTAATAAATAGAATTAAAGAAACGTGGTATTTGAAATTGCAAATATGAACAAGTAGGAAACAACTTAATTGAAGGAAATTATGTCGAGACGTGTGACAGAGATTACTTCAGTCTCTTAAATATTATACATTAAAACAATTTCTCCCAAATAACAAACCTGTTTGAGTTTTTTAACTTCTGTCAGTTGGCAAATAATATATATCATATAACTCTTTAAATCTTTTTTTGCTTAACAAACATTATTAAATATTATCAAAAATTACTTACGTTTTCCGTATGTCGACAGGAACTTTTAAACCAGTTTACCTACTACCAAAACCCCTTAGTCAAACTTTATCCAGATTTAAAAAAAAAAAAATCTGGTTTTTTTAATGTGTAATAAATCCCTCTACGAATTGAAGCATAAATAATAATTAATGTTTCGGATTCCAATATCACTGCGCATGTCTGCCAATGTCTCTAAAGGCTGTATGAAATAATTTATTGTTTCAGTAACTTATACATTATATAAAATCTTTTTTATAAAAACAGGTTTCCTTAATTCATCCAATAAAGCCATTGATTTTCAACGGTGTAGAGTAGAAATAAATTCTTTTGTTTCGCGCATGTTAACGAAGCGATCGATACATGTTTGCATCCTAAGCACGCACATTAACAGTAATTGCACAATAACTTAAGCAAAGCTATGTACGAATGCATCGTTTTTTGCCTCTCTTTACTCCAGACATATCTCTGTCTCTCTCTGTCTCTCTCTGTCTCTGTGTGTGTGTGTGCGTGCGTGCGTGCGTGCGTGCGTGCGTGCGTGCGTGCGTGCGTGTGTGTGTGTGTGTGTGTCTCTCTCTCTCTCTCTGTCTCTGTCTCTCTCACACATTTCTACACCAACGGAAATATATTTCAATAAAAAGCATATTAAAACAGTAAACAAGTAAAGTTATATGTAGCCTTGAGCTTTTGAGCGCCCTAGCAACTGTGTAAGCTTTATTCAGTTGTCTGTTTGTGTTCTTTTTAATTGCCAGATGGTTTTTAAAAGCAATGTTCAATATTGACATTTGCAAATCGGCGCCACGCGTAAGATTTTATTTTTTATAAAACTGCATCAGATAAGTTTTTAAAAGTGTCCGTGTTTTAGAGAGGCACTTGTGTAAAATATTACGTAACATGGGAAAAGTGTTTTCGAGTGAAAGTGAAAGTGAACATGACAGTCACAGTAAGTTTTTTATAGTATAGAAGAGTTTTTCTACATCTGCTAACGTTAATATGATAAATGTTCACTCAGTTTATAAATTTTATGACATTTAATCATATGTAAATCTTTATGAACAATAATACGTAAATACATTAAAAATGTTACTATAGGGTTGTCCTAAAAGTGTGATATCAACGGTCCCCACCAAAAATGCTGATTGTAATGTTATTTTTTTTTAAATAAAGATTTCAAAAACAATGTTTTCAGAAATACTAATAATATTAGATATTTGATTCAATTTCTTTTAATTGAAGAGATAAAGTACAGAATACAATTGCTTATTGCAGGTGCTAAGCGTTACAATGCTTTTCCAGTTTTGGTCATTTCAACAATTTGAATAATAATTCTGGAAAAGCGGGGCGAGCAAAAATCTTAAATTTTGCACAAATGTTATTGGTTTTAAATTTCCTCATTTGGAAGATTACTTTCGAAAAAAAACATTTCAAGGCCCTTTTATCTTTATATGGCATTGAAATAAAAATTGTACCTCGTGCACTCATAGAACCGCATTCACAAACCGAATTTTAAAATATATAATAAGTATTAAATCTTAATTAATATTACCTCAATCATTCCTTATTCGTGTATGATTACATGTAACTATTGACTAAACTCAATGTTTATATAAAAATACACGTATAACCAAATCCAAAACATCATTAACAGGTATATATTGTCGCCTCTTTGTCTGTCCGTACACATTTGATCGGCAGGGAACATAATTCTTAAACTCGAAGAGATATTAACAAAGTATTCTGTAGGTAGATAGATCTCATTGAGTAAAAGTGCAGTGCTTAAGAACCGTAATTCTGCATCGCCAATCTTGGAGTTATTGCCCTTTTTACATTTTACACATTAAAATTAGTCCTGGCTATAACTCTGAAACTACAAACCTTAGGGATATCAAAAAAAACTACTTGTCTGTGTCTAAAACCTATTCGGGGAGCTCACCCGGTTCGACTGACTTGTGTTATCTCGGTTTCTAAAAACCTAATTACTAGCGATTGCAATCCTCAGCCCTTTCCAGGATTTAGATCACAATAATATTATTACACAGAGCTGATAGAGTATTTTGGTCTAACAAACGCTTACTTTCCGTTATTTCAAAAGGGTGACTACCAAGATTTGCAGCGGTGTCTCAACGCCGCATTTCATCGCAGACCAGGCATAGATTTTAAAAAATTGTGTGATGCTGTTCTCTAAATGCAATGATGACTCTCGAACCCAAAATGACCAGTATGGACTTCTTTTGGGCTATTATCGCATAACGAAGAGCATCACTTCTAATTACGTGAATAGTAGAAAAGGTCTAAAAAGCATAAAAGTAAAATTATTGACTTTGAGGTTTTTTTTGTTAATTTATAATGTGTTCAGATGTTTATATGTTCATATTTAACTTTCTGTAAGCATATAATTTCTTGTGAAAGAAAATGACACCTTTATTTATATATTTATCTCTAAAATGGAGCTTATCTGCTACTGAAAGGCCTAAGTAAAGTTGGGCATATTGTCAAATTATATAAAGAAAATCAAATAAGACATTTAATATTTATTTCTTAAACAATGATACTTTTACAAATTTGTCTACGAAACCATAGCGGGCTTTGAAATTTCCGATACTAACTCTCATTTTCAGGAAGCATCTACAAAAGCATTTGAATTCAATTCAAATCTGATCAAATATAAAAAACAGTAAGCATGCACAAATAACAATTATGTTGTGCTGAGGGATCTTTAATGATTCAAACTAAAACATATTTTAGGAAAACATATCTAAAATATTCATCAAATGAAAGCAAAGTTATCCCCTGACAAAGATACTTAAATCGCGTAACAAGAGGGCCATGATTGCCCCAATATTTGTCACCTAGATATGAATACTCTCCATGAGAAGGAACAGGTAATCTTCTATATTATAATGGAAATCAGACAAAAAATTCTTAATCTTAAATGATATCAAAAAGCAAATATTTTTATCTTAAATAAAACATGTGCGTATGAAAACATTACTGGTTGCTATTGTAAAGGTTAAGTACGAAATCACTGGTTGCTATACAAAATATATGGTATCTTTTGGAAGTCAGTGCCTGCAGCGAAATTCAATTGTAAATTTCACATTTGGAAAGTTAGTGTTTACTAAGGAAGTCACTGTTTGCTACAAACATGTACAGCTTGCTACAAAAAACAATCACTGCTATGAAGTCACTGGTTGGTATGGAAACTAAGCTTAAGCTCTTGTTGATAAGGACGAGTATCTTTTTATTTTTTAACTAACTTTGAAACAGCGTACACGTTTCGGGTTTCAAGTACTTAACAATAAAAGAAAATGATCCATATTCATACAAAACCGACACTGACAGGCAGATCGAAGGGTCACAAGAAGCCTTCTATTATCCAACGTCAGATCTAAATGTAAACATAAGAAAACCTTAACTTTAGTCAGATGAACAGTCCTAATAGTACCGTGGTACAAGCATTGGTTTTTGGAGAGGAAGCAACCAGACGGGGAAGGGGGAATAATGATAAAAACTAAGAGGGATGGTACTTATCAATGACGATAAAAACAAGAAAAGACAGAAAGAGTGCCACCACAATAGCATAAAGCTCTAAGGAGAATATGGAAAAATAAAATCCCACATGTAGGCGTCACGCTTTTCCGGAATCGACACCAGATGGGCGTACGGATATGGAATTTTGAATTTTGAAAAGATGGCCCAGACATTTGACGAGAGCCGATCAACAGCCGTACGATTCTTACATAATGTCACGCCGCCATCGCACCCGATCCACACACGATTCCTACAATGGCATTCTAACTACACACAAAGACACCTCAAAGATGATAAAGTTTACCTTACCTCCCACATGACCTTTAAAGGCCACGCAATTGGTACATGACGTCGTATTGTGATACCAATACACGTTCGAACGTGGTCAGGAAGGTGTCACGTATTATATAACGCGCTCTTGTTGATTCCAACAGCATTGTCCCCTACTCTGATTTATGGGACAGGACAGTCGTCAACAGGTAAAGACTTCTCTTTAGTGAGACTGAATACGTTGTTCGGACTCTCCAGGCCTTCTTTCAGTTATGACCTATTGTAACAGGCTTCGTTGTTTGGACCATCAGAGCCGACATCAATCCGAAGAAACTTATAGGTGACATCATCGATTACGGCCATTCTGACAATGAAGAAGAAGCCATTGTAGTTTCTGTACATAGAGCCAGTATTCGAAGGACATGTAACCGCCACATGCTTGCCACCACAGCAATGTGGAAAGTGCTTTCTCTTTTCAAACTTCTCATCAATGGTAGACCACTCTTTGATTCTTTGCAGGACTTCATCGTAGAGGCCTCTCGGAGGTCTGGTTTAGTTATAGAAAGAATTCTCATTTTTTATCATTTACCCCTATCGTCGAGTGCCATAGTCGCTATACATTTTTCTTCTTTTCTCAGACAGATTTTCTTGTATTTCTTACTTATAACCAGTATAACAAACAACTCTATAAGCCCAACATGAATTCAAAATCAACAATTGGGGAAAAAGTGATACTTGATAAAATAAAATAAAATAAGTTTCACGAATTTTTGACGAAAAGCAATGCTTGTCATGGCAGATGTAAGCATTGCATGCATTTGTACGAAAAATAGGAAAGATGGAAAAACAAAACACTTTTAACACTATTAAATATTGTATTAATTTTAGGTAGTTTTTATTTTTTTTTTAAAGCGCGTGATCATATTGATTGAATTTGCCCAAATTATGCATGACAAAATGAAATCGGTAGCATATATTAGAATTTAGATTTAAAAAAGGTCAACAAGTTCTCCTGTAATTTCAAAAAAAAAATCGAAATTCATAGATGAACATGAAGATTCAATCGAAATTTACACCACAAAGGATGGTTGCAAATCATTTCACATATGTAACAACACTACCTGATAACGAATCCATATTTACTGCTGAAGCAAATGCCATTGATCTAGTATTGTCATTTAACAGAATAATGTATATATTTTTTTTTTCTTCAAAGTCACTCTCCGTGTTATTTTGAAATAAAAATCAAACGTCCGATTATATTATGATTAAGAAACTTGTTTTCCGTTTTCATGATATTTTAAAAACTAAGTCAGTCAATTGTGTTTGATTCTATGCCACATAGGAATACGAGGAAATAAAGAAGTAGATAACTTGGCCGAAGAATAAATAAATTCTGAACCAGTAGATTCGTCGTTAACAAACATTGTTTATAAACCCTTACTAAGTAAACTTATTGCGTGGAAATCAAAGTTGTAATTTACAACCTTCGTGATATCAACCCTTGTCTTAATATATCGCCATCTCTCTTTATATCTTCTTGGCCATTATAATCTCTTTTTTTCTGAATGTAGACGTAGACATAGAACATTATTACATTTTAACAGGAGACAAACTTCCATTTTCTATAGCTGGCGATAAATATTTTACTGTGAAACATTTCCTACTTGAATGCCATGATCTTGCGTATGGTCGTGATATATTTCATCGAGTCAATTCACTTTGAAAACTTTTGTTCAGTTTCATCCAAACCCTGATCAATTACTAAAAGGAAGTAAAGATTTAACTTACTAGTAACATATTTAAGACCTTCTTATTATAGTGTAAGGCGTGTATCTTAAGAGGAAGATAGGAACCCTGAATCTAGAATCTAGAGAACTACCAGCGTGACCCAAGCGTCTACAAAGGCGTTGTTATACGGCCACACTACCTTAAAAAGAAAATCACGTTAATTTCTCACGAAAATTTTAAAAACATAAAATCAAAAAAAACATTTTTGAAATTGCCAACCCAAGCATCGCAAAATTACTTAAAAACGACACATTTTTGCGACAAATTTAAAGAATTTTCAAAAACTTTAATGAGAATACTAGTATTTTGACATGTATCAATATATTTTAGAAAGACAAACGTTTTAAAACCAAGGGGAAAAAGGGGCTTTTAAAAGTTTTAAATTATATAACAAAATGCTTTTGAAAAATACGTTGTATACTTTAATTTCTTTATACCCGTGCTGGCGTGGTTAAGTTATATGTGATTTCTATTTCTAGGTCCAGTTCAATCGTATGAACCACCTGCGCCTCCGCCTGCGCCTCCTTGTCCTTTTACAAGTACCCCATGGAGAACAACACCTGCATGGAGTGAAGACGTAAGATTTTGATTTTGTTTTCTCCGAAAAATCTAAATTAAAATCATAGAAATTATGCAGGGACACTCTTTTTATCGCTTTTTATTGTTTATATTATTTTGCATATGTTATATTTCATTGCTTTAGTTTTCGGTATGTAAAATGTATACATAACGAGAGATAGTGAAAATAATTGAGATTCTTGATTGTAAAACATACACATTCACTTACATTTTGTTTGTGGTACGTTCCCTCCAGATCGTATTGAAGACTCCCATCAATGTTGAAAAGACATAATGGCTGTTACAAGACAATGCAAGGTGATGATGTACCGCACCACCTCATTAATGTTAATCACAGTAACAAATTCCTCTTTAAGGATCTTTTAATTTCAGGAACATATCCTAATCATAGATGCTGACTTCCGTAGAATATGCATTTTTCCCCAGTATTCCTACTTACACTCTTGAAATAACGCCAAACACAGTTCTCCTTATAAAACGTAGCGGTGTCGTGCAAACTAAGTGGCGTAATATAATTCAGTCTTGGTCGTTTGTAGCGTTATTCTGGACAAAGAATTTTCTTCAAAAATATGCCATAGCATTACTATCATGTTATAGCATTTTTGGATTGTTCATACTTCGGCGAAATATAACAAGTTTCGGTGAATTTTGCGTGTGTCATTCATTTTTTGGAGTTACTTGGATTCCTTTACCAATTTCAAACAGGCTCACTGCAGGTCAAATTCTTTCGTACCATTCAAAGTATCGAACGCAATTTTCCTGAAAACATTTAAATTCACGCGTCAACACGAATGCGCCGTCAATAAAACGACATATTGATTACGTATTTCATTACATATGTTTATACATGTGTACGTGTGTATCAAATTTCGTTTGAATATGTCTATCCGTTTAAGAGATATTAACCAATACTCAGGTATTTTTGACTGATCCTCGTATATACACAGACGCTTGGGGTCAGATCCTGTCCCCCAACGTGATACGCCCCTGTAAACACTCTACAAAACTATTTTGATATTTAAACACGAATGGGACATCTATTACAACGATAAAAATGGTTTTCAAACAATTTTTACATATATGAAAAAAATACCGTATACCATCAAGTCTCAATAAAGTACTAATTATCGTTGTGTTTATGTATTGAAAATGCCAGAAGGTTTACTTAAATGATTTAGAAAAGTTCACATATTTTACTGCAATACGATGAAATGTATTGTCAATTGAAATTTTATGAAATAAAGGATGTCAATTTATTGTATATCTTTATCAGAGTGAATCGTCACTTCGTAAACAAATAGAAAAAATACATCCGAAATGGAACAGAGAAAACGTGGAAGAAACAAACCCTGAAAAAAAACAAAAACGGAAAAAACCTACTATCGTACTAGTTGGACCAGTCGGAGCAGGAAAGTCTTCATTTGTTAATGCAATACTATCTGTTTCTAAGGGACATAAGGTTGATCGTGCTTTAACTGAAAGGGGAAGCAAAAGTTGTACAACCACTGTAAGTTAGCTTTTCATTTTAATCAATATAATTATACAGACTTTTCATTGTCACACCTATATTTTTAGTACACTGTCCTTGAATTTGATATTTTTTATTTCAGGTCATTTAAGGGGCAGATAAATTCTACATACACAAATGTCATAATAAGGTTCAATCACAAAAAGAAGTAAATCTGTATCTGTGTTCAACAGCATGAATCAAATGACTAATTTACTATGCTGGTACAGTATCGTATACATACAATTATAAGAAAATGATTAATATTCCTGTACTGCCGTAGGTGTTGCTGTATTATAGTATTATCGTAATTTTTTAATTAGCGAAATAAAATCAAAACAGCAGAATTTGAAATTCATGTTTATAATTTTTTGAAATACTTTTCTTGTAGAAATTTATTACAATCAAATAAATTATTTTTGAGTATGTCCAATTCGAATAAGTGAATATGTAAGTTTGAATATAGAAATCAACTCCAGTTTCAATTTAAAAATGTAATTATTTTATTTGAAAAAATGTACAACGTTTCGACTCAAAAGTCTTCATCAGGTATACTTTGTTTAAAGGAAATGACGTCAACGTCATATGACGTCAAGGACAATGACGTCAAAATTTAATACATAATTTGGCGTATAAATGTAATATGTAGGATCTTTATAATAAGTGAATATATAATCTATATTTCGGAAGGTGCATTTCCTATTTCTTGTCACATTAATTTGGTCTATTTTTATTAAAAAAAACTAAGAATTTAAGTTAAGAATCTTAGTTTTTTTATTTTGTTGTGCTACAACAAACTAGTTAATAGTTTAATTAGGAAATAGATATCAATTCTGAGTGCATTGTTGTAGAAAAATGCACGGTTTGGGTTCAAATGCGTAGTAAGATAATCACGAAGGCCGATAGGCCTGAGTGATTAATTACAAAGCATTTGAACGAAAAACGTGCATTATTATACAATAATGCACGAAGAATTAATATCTATTTCCATTCTAACACGTCAAGAAAAAATATAATTATTATTATAAAGTTGGACTTTATGTTTGGTGGTTAAATTTGTTTTAACCTCAGAGTTTCCAATAGAAACGTTCTTTAAAGGCTGTTCCAGTGGGTTGAAACAAAACTGTCGTTAAATCTACCGTGTGTAGAAACATTTTCAGAATAACGAATTTTTAAAACGTTGATAAAACTTTGTTTGTTTATTTTATTTCACCCTATAACTTTTCAAGCGAAATACAAATTATTAAAAGTGAAATAAATGTAAAAATTAACTCGTTTGCGACATTAAAATAGCGTACTTGATTTGATTGTTTTGCACGTGCTGTTTGGCGCTACATTGTGACGTCACGTAAACAACACTTTAAACGTCTGTACAGCGTTAACAACTGAATTAAAAAAATATTGGTGTTCGGATTCATTTTCTTAGTTAGACCATTTTCTATTATTCTAGATAGTTTTCACAACAAAATTCGACAAAAAATTGTTTTTATTTATCAGATTTTTAAACGAAATGGCGCCCTCAATGTGAAAATATACAGGGAGATAATAAGAACGGCGAGTGCATTATTGTAGAATAATGCACGCTTCCGGCCTTCTTTGTCTATATAGGAAAATTTCCGATAGTGTTAGAATGTGTTATAGAGAATAAAAAAACATTGTCGTTTCTTCCTGGTGAATACAATTACAGGTGACAATAATAATTAATAAAGGTTCTTAGGTTAGATAAAAGTGGACACAAAGAGCCAATTGATACAACTGGCATTGGTAACGTGTACATGTCTGTCTGAAAGACATACTATGTTTTATTTGTATTGCTCATTTCAGTATGACAAATACACAGATAAATCCTTACTAGATAGATTTCGTCTGAGGGATTGCATGGGGTTAGAACAAAGTGAAGAAGAAGGATTTAATGTCGCGGACATGGTTGCTCTTCTTGAAGGGCATGTTAAGGATGGTTATACGGTAATTGATGAATTAAAGTATGATTAATATAGAGGATATTTGTTTGTTCGTTTGTAAGATGAATAATTTTTATTTCATCGAGTGGGCCACTCGTGAGAATACTGTTTTAAAAGTTCCCTTCTATAAATGTGATTTGATTTATTGGGTCAAAAGTTTAAAAAGAAATAATGGACTTTATGCGTTGGGAAAAAAAAACAATTTTATATGGATAAGTACAACAATCAAGAACGGCATAAATTGTTTTTAGCTCACCTGACCACGAAGTGGTCAAGGTGAGGTATAGTGATGGGGCTATGTCCGGCGTCCGTCGTCGTGCGTCGTGCGTTGTGCGTCGTGCGTCGTCAACAATTGGGTTGTTAACAGTCTAGCAGTCATAGTTTTGATTGGATCATCATCAAACTTTGTCAGAATGTTTGTCTCAATGAAATACAGATCGAGTTTGAAGATGGGTTATCTCGGGTCAAAAACTAGGTCACAGGAGCTAAAAATAGAAAAAGCTTGTTAACACTCTAGAGGCTGCAGTTTTCATCCAAATATTCTGGAAATTCGTCAGGAAGGTTGTTTTGATGATATCTAGGTCAAGTTCGAAGATGGGTCATCTCCGGTCAAAAACTAGGTCACAGGAGCTTAAAATAGAAAAAGCCTGTTAACACTCTTAACAATTGGGTTGTTAACAGTCTAGCAGTCACAGTTTTGATTGGATCATCATCAAACTTTGTCAGAATGTTTGTCTCAATGAAATACAGATCGAGTTCGAAGATGGGTTATCTCGGGTCAAAAACTAGGTCACAGGAGCTAAAAATAGAAAAAGCTTGTTAACACTCTAGAGGCTGCAGTTTTCATCCAAATATTCTGGAAATTTGTCAGGAAGGTTGTTTTAATGATATCTAGGTCAAGTTCAAAGATGGGCCATCTCCGGTCAAAAGCTAGGTCACAGGAGCTAAAAATAGAAAAAGCTTGTTAACACTCTAGTGGCTGCAGTTCTCATCCAAATATTCTGGAAATTTATCAGGAAGGTTGTTTTGATGATATCTAGGTCAAGTTCGAAGATTGGTCATCTCCGGTCAAAAACTAGGTCACAGGAGCTAAAAATAGAAAAAGCTTGTTAACACTCTAGTGGCTGCAGTTTTCATCCAAATATTCTGGAAATTTGTCAGAAAGGTTGTTTTGATGATTTCTAGGTCAACTTTAAAGATGGGTCATCTCAGGTCAAAAACTAGGTCACAGGAGCTAAAAATAGAAAAAGCTTGTTAACACTCTAGAGGATGCAGTTTTCATCTAAATATTCTGGAAATTTGTCAGGAAGGTTGTTTTGATGATATCTAGGTCAAGTTTTAAGATGGGTCATGTCCGGTCAAAAACTAGGTCACAGGAGCTAAACATAGAAAAAGCTTGTTAACACTCTAGTGGCTGTAGTTTTCATCTAAATGTTCTTGAAATTTGTCAAGAATTTTGTTTTGATGATATCTAAGTCAAGTTTGAAGATGGGTCATGTCCGGTCAAAAACTAGGTCACATGAGCTAAAAATAGAAAAAGCTTGTTAACACTCTAGGGGCTGCAATTTTCATCTAAATATTTTGGAAATTTGTCAGGAAGGTTGTTTTGATGATTTCTAGGTCAAGTTCGAAGATGGGATATGTCCGGTCAAAAACTAGGTCACAGGAGCTAAAAATAGAAAAAGCTTGTTAACACTCTAGTTGCTGCAGTTTTGATTCAAATATTCTGGAAATTTGTCAGGAAGGTTGTTTTGATGATTTCTAGGTCAACTTTAAAGATGGGTCATCTCCAGTCAAAAACTAGGTCATAGGAGCTAAAAATAGAAAAAGCTTGTTAACACTCTAATGGTTGCAGTTTTCATCCAAACATTCTGGAAATTTTTCAGGAAGGTTGTTTTGATGATTTCTAGGTCAAGTTCAAAGATGGGTTATCTCAGGTCAAAAACTAGGTCACAGGAGCTAAAAAAAAGCTTGTTAACACTCTAGAGGCTGCAGTTTTCATCTAAATATTTTGGAAATTTGTCAAGAAGGTTGTTTTGATGATATCTAAGTCAAGTTTGAAGATTGGTCATCTTCGGTCAAAACCTAGGTCACAGGGGCTAAAAATAGAAAAAGCTTGTTAACACTCTAGGGGCTGCAGTATTGATTCAAATATTCTGGAAATTTGTCAGGAAGGTTGTTTTGATGATTTCTAGGTCAAGTTCGAAGATGGGTCATCTCATGTCAAAAACTAGGTCACAGGAGCTAAAAATAGAAAAAGTTTGTTTACACTATAGTGGCTGCAGTTTTGATTCAAATATTCTGGACATTTGTCAGGAAGGTTGTTTTGATGATTTCTGGGTCAAGTGCTAAGATTGGTCATGTCCGGTTAAAAACTAGGTCACAGGAGCTAAAAATAGAAAAATCTTTTTAACACTCTTGTGGCTGCAGTTTTGATCCAAATTTCTTGGAAATTGGTCAGGAAGGTTGTTTTGATGATTTCTAGGTCAAGTTTTAATATGGGTCGTGTCCGGTCAAAAATTAGGTCACATTGCCCAAATATGAAAAAATCTTTATAACACACAAGAGGTCACATGTTTGACTCAGTTGTCATCAAACTTGGCCATGATGCTTGTTTAAGTCATTGCTTGGATGCGGTTGTGTCAGGTGAGCGATCCAGGGCCATCATGGCCCTCTTGTTTATTATTCATATCATGATTTTATTATTGATTGTAATTTGCAATATTGCTAATGTCCTTTATTATCTTCAAATTTCAGTTTAACCCAAGAAGTCCAATTTCACCAGAACACAACAAATGGCGTGCTAATCCAGAGTTCGAACATCAAACCCATTGTGTCGTTTTTGTAGTTGATGCAAATGTCATGCACATAGGTATTCCTCCAGCCTATGTCAGGAAAATAAGAGAAATACAAGATGCCGTGAAGCGATTACGTAAGTAAAGAGAGCATTTATCTTCCAAAAAGACGTATCATCCATCGTGGTACGATGGTTATTACTGATACTGTCTTATAATTTCTTATATGAGACATAACCTAAATAAGATCAGTCACAATTCGTTAATGTGGAAGTCGGATTTTATCGTTATCTTATTGCATAGTCATTTAAATAAGAACATCAGAACAACTATTTCTTTCTTCGTACAAAATTCTAACATGACTCGTAATTTTGTCACTATGCACAAAGAAAAAGAATAACCGGTTCTAAACTGTAAATGAAAACTGTTTACTGACTACATGTATATTGATATTTTCCTACAATGTGTTTTATTTTTTGGTCAAAGGTCGTCTAAAATCAGTTGACTTCCTGTAAAATTTACGGGGAAGACATGAATATAACTATGATCTTGTAAAATTACAAACTGAAATCTGAGAAATCTGGGAATCTCAATAGCCATTCGAAAATAAGTCAATATACAGCATCTTTCTGAAATTGTTCACCTATCTAGTTTTGAATTAATCTAAATAGGTTATAGAATTAATTTACATTACAATTTTCTTCTGAAGATTTTTAGTTCTCTCACTTTCTTGTTAAGTTTTTCAGATATTTAAGTTCCCTTCAACCATGTTTCTTCCTATAAAATATTTAACATTGCTTTTAAAATATCATTTTTGGAATATAAATTTGTCCAAAATAATGAGACCAACAATAACGTTGACAATCCAGTTAACTATTCATTAAAATATCAAACACCAAATTAACAAATTTATCCGGCACTCTCAGATATTTATGTCAAATGTATGATTGGTGTTTTTAGTTGATATAAAGATTATAATTTTAATATATTTTTGCATATTAATAAAAAAATAATTTAACCGCCAAAGATTAAATGATATGTCAATTGTATTTTTTTTTTTTTTTTTTTTTTTTTTGATAACTTTACGTTACTGGCGCGTTTTTTTTTTTCGAATTTTAAGGGTCTTTCGGTATTTCCGTCGGTGTTGCAAATCTGTGGATTGTATATCGACAAAACGATCTCATTTATAAACTTCCTATTAAAATTTTGATTTGATTAAACTTTAATCGCTAATGCAATTCTCTAAATACAAAAATAAAATTAAGAATTTTACAGTCATGTTACCTAGTAAATTCTGTTTCAACCTATACCGACATTCAAAAGTCTACAAACCGGTGTGAAATAGCCAATAAATACATTTGAGGGGTTTTTTTATTTATGAAATGAAAAGCATGTAAAATATTAAGATATTAGCATATGCATTAATTTAAGTGGTTTCAACTTACATTTGTCATGTACGATATAGGTGTGCCACGTGTTTTGATCTTGACAAAAGCTGACGTTCTTTGCAAAGAGGTTCATAATGACATTGCAAACATGTTCCGAAGCGTTAAGGTTAGAGAAGCTGTTAAAACGGCAAGCGAAGTATTTAACATTCCTGAAGCCTCCATTCATCCAGTTACGAATTATGAAGATGAAGATTCTATTGAAATCAGTTGGAAAAGGAACATACCACTTCTCCTCGCCTTGAGGCAAATAACACAGTATGCAAATGACATGATTGAGGCAGTCAATGAACATAGCGATAGTGACTAAACATTAGTCGTGGCGGGAATAACTTTTTATATCTTTTCGAAACTCTTCATTTTAAGACTTATTATTGGTTGTTGTTACTAAAAATATTAATTTCTTTACTACGGTATTAAATTACTTGTTTAATGTTTATGTTGAAATCATTCATGCATCTTTATAATAAATGGTCATTTTTTACTGTCAATGGTCATTTAATAAGTGTTGCACTTTATTTTGTTTAGGTAAACTATTTTGTTTACGTAAACTACATTATTTACATAGTAAATCATACAGTCTTGCTTTAAATCAGTTAATCATTATCTACTTTTGTAATTCTTCTCTATGTTTGTTTACTTCATGCATGAAATTTTCATGCATTTTGGTATGAAAAAGGTATAAACGATGTAAATTGAACGAAAATCCTAATTTTAGCCTCTGCTTTACAGACACTTGAAAGGTAAAATGTATCTTTTGTTAGAACTTTTTAGTTGAAGAAAATGCAATCAACTTGATTTTTTGCTGGGGTTTTTAAATTTAAAAATCATTCTCAGTTTACTTCAAAATTGATTTGCTTAACAATTAGGTAGAATAATATATTCTTTTTGTTTTTCGAGATTACAAATTAGACTATTTTTAAATAAAACAACACAGTATTGTACCTTATACTTTTGTCAAAAGGACAAATTGTAGAATTTTGGTGTTTACAATGTTTTAGTATTCTATTATCAATAGTGTATAGACATCTTTATTATGGCCTAAAGATATTATCTAAGATTAACTAAATTACCAATATACATCAGCTGGTCAAGCAAAGGAATAAACAAATGTCGCTGGTGACAATCACTTGCTAGACTGTACAATTCATTAAATACATATAGTATATCAATTAAGACCAAACTGTCAGCTCTTGATCACTTTATTTTATGTAAATGTATAAACAGTCCTATGGACATGCCAGTACCTTAATCAAACAATTAAGGAATAAACATTATAATATTATAATACTGTGTTTTGATATGAGTATGTGATATTTCAAATGTACATGTATATATATTACTGATGACTAATCTGATTACAAATGACTCTTTGGAGAAGTATCTTACATTTAAATGTTAAATGCATACATTGAAATTATTGATATCATAGACATTTTGTCAGGAAATTATTATTTAATATTTTATCCTAACTGATGTATCAGACATTCTAACTGTCTTGAACTTCTTCACAAAAATCTAACTGATATTTTTCACTTATATTGATTCTATGTTTTGTATGCATATTATGTAGTCAGCTAATAAACTCACAGATTTAGAAGAAACATTGCTGTTATGATATTTTAGTGAGGAGGAAACCTATATATTTTAGAACCCCGTGAGTCATTATTTAGACCCCAAAATCCTACACAAATCACTCTAAAACTTTCTTCTTCTTCTTTGTGCTTCCTGTTGGTAAAGAATTTGTCTGAAGAATCTGGGTACAAACGCAAGGTAAACCTGACAAATCGTTAAATGATAAAATCTGATCTATAAATATTTTATTTTATTTTTTCTCGTTGTGTGCGTATGTGTGCAATTACGACTTTAAACAATGAATTTGTTTATAATGGAAGGTCCGTAATACAATTAGTAATTTAGTATAAGACATAACTCCAAACCAAGAAAAATATACATAACATAAAAGTTATTGGCGAGTGTGAGATACATGATCCGATATTACATATATAATAGCAGATAATAAAAAAGTTCTTGAATAGAATATCATTTTTCATCGTACAAATATTAATTCTAAATCACTTTAAACTTGATCAACTTTTCTTTTCAAGCGACATTTACGTAAGAATATCAAAATGACACATTTCTATTGTTTTTATCAATATTTGAAATAATGATGGTAAATGAGTTCACTGTAGACATATTCACTTTAAAATTAAACATTTCGTAGGCAAGACAGCATGGACTGTAGGTCTTTTTTAAGTATGTATTATATGTATCAATTTGTGAATTTTACATCAGTCACACGGTGGATAAACTAAGCCTTTTACAACTACTTAAGTATACACGACAGACTTTACCAAAAATATGAAAATACCTGTTTTTTGTCTGCATTTTTAATCTTAATTTTGTGAACAGATACTGGTAAACATTTGACGATTTTCGTGTTCTTTTTTACGTAAAATTGATAACCTACAATAATCTTACCACAACTCGTAGTGTGTTCATAATGGTGAAAATGTATATTGCTGGCAAAACAAATTATGAAACAAGATACATATCTAATTAAAAAGTAAGTTGAATTTTTAATTGAATGTTTAATGAATTGTCATCATAGATATCGTTACAATTATATTCCTGACCTACAAAGTCAGCTATTCGTTAATTAAAAACTGAATTTGAAGATGTGTAGATCAATGATAACTCAATGTTTTAATAAATAACCGACATAAAGTCTATGTTAGCTTATTAAATCTGCTTTTGATTGAATATGTATTCACATTTCTGAAACGAAAACAAGTGTTGGGGTCTAAATAGGTTTGTTTCACTATTTGAGCTCTCAAAGGGGGGGCGGTGATAAGCCGTCAAAACACGTCTATATGAGGGTAAAGGTCAACAGAAAATGATGAAACATCTTTGAATTGCCAAAAAATAGAGTTTTTTCTTGTTAAACATGACTTTACATAAGAAAAAGTTGTTTTCTGTTTTAACAATAAACACATAAATCAGAACAAAATATTAACTAATGATACGTTGTAGGAATCTATCATGGTTATTGTGTTGGTTTTGTTTCCTTTTCTTTCTTCATGTATTTCTTATTTTGTTATTTAGATATCCATTCCGCAAAAGTCCCTGTACTTTGAAGTTTAAATTATATTATCATGTATAGTCAAACACGTATCAAATGCGATAATTAGATCGTTGCTAAACTGAAATTAACGAAGAGTCAGGAAATACTGGTTTCCGTCCGGAGAGTGGTCTTCCTGGTTTCTTTTAAGTCACTACATTTTCACGCACACTTTTCAGATTCTGCCTTGAAACCTGCGTTATAATATTTTGCGCTACTGGTAAAGTTATTTAGTAGTATATTTTTTTTATTTTATATTAACTTATTACTCAACGATGAAGACGACCGATCTCACTAATAGAATATACAGTTATATACCGGATGATTACCATTTAAAACAATCACACGAAAAAGTGAGAGGGCATACGTCCGATAAAAAGGAACTCTATGAAACCCTAGACAAACGGAATGCGCGAACGGATGAATACGACACATTAAAGCCATTACAACCTGGAAAAATTGACCCAAGTTCCAAAGTTGGGAAAGTATCATTGAAGGAATGTATGTTTGTTATAGTGGTCATCATCTTATTGTCTATGTCAGTCACATGTCTGGTTCTCGTTTTCAGTTTGTCGAACAAGGGTATGTATTATAACGTTCCTATATATAGGCTTTAGTACTTCGTTTAATTCATACAGAATTTTGATACACTGAGTAACTTAATCTTAGTGAATGAATTTTGCGCAAACATATTTCGATTTGTTTTTTCTATTACAGTTGAAACAGATGTTAATTCGGCAAATCTGTAAACGAAAACTAAACTTATCAGTCCCATGGGTGTTTGTCCATTTTACAGATTACAATGCTGTCTTAAGGATGTAACATTTTGTTCGAATATTTTCAAAAGTAATAATGTTGTACCAGATACACACTGGTTGATAAAAGCTTAATAAAAACACTAGGAGTGTTGGATTTTCTGTTATCACTTTATTTGTTTTGTCTACATAGTTACTGATCATGGGAAATACTCACTGTGTTATTGTATCTGTATTTCAGTGTCAAGTCAATTAGATCACATAAATACGATGGAAGGACACTTTAAAGGAGAGATAACAAAGCTGTATACAGAAGTTAACGATACACAAGGAAAATACCTAAAAAATCAAAACATTGGTAAATATTAATTATGATATATATTTAAGTTGTCATATTATCATATCGTTATCAAGAAAATATTTGCCTAGGTTATACAAATAAGACGCTGGAACATACATGTATATACCGGTTCTTAAAATGTTATCAAAGTCTCAGCTGTCAATGTCAATGACGTTTTATCTAGATTATCAACACGGTTTAAATTACAAAATAAGAAGGGTATGCTTTGAGTATATATGGTTTTTCTGAATGCAAGTTTTTCGTAAAATGTTATGTCAAATATCGGTAACACAAATGGTATACATTCGTTTTTGAATTTTTTGGATAGTATGCGTCTATGTAAAATTGGCGTTGTACTATTTACCAATAGCTGAGATATCTAAAAGTTCAGCTCTGCTAAAGACTTTTAAGATTATCATATCATTATTTCAGATCGTCATGTTGCGTTCACTGCCAAAGGTGCGTCCGGTAAAAATCCAACGATTTTCAAAGAAACTATTCAGAACTATGGCAACGCTTACAGTGAAACAAGTGGCAAATTCACGTGTCCATCTGCTGGCATTTACTTTTTTCTATCCTCATTGAGCGTTGAAGATGATTTGTTAGTCCTTTCAGACTTAAAATGCTTTCTGTATGTAAACAATAAAGAGGCGATAGGAACCCCTGTCAACGTTTATTTTGACAATACTTACGCTGCGACCATATTTGGAACATTTTACTTAGCGACAGACGACAAAGTTTTTGTAGGATGTCGTAATGGCGACGGTTTTCGACGCCCAAATTTTAGTACATTTACAGGATTCTTAGTAGCACTTGTTGAATAATTTGCAGAATTAAAATTTCAATAAGCATTGCAAAAAGTTTATGAAAATTTGATACGCTGATTATACGCACATTTTGCAATAACTTGAAGATAATTGAAAGCATGCCAGCGGTAAATTCTAATACAACAGATGAATACAAAGTGAATACATGAACACGGCAGTCAGTATAATAGTATTTAAAATATATAAAAATATGCAATATTCTAGCATTAGGTAAAACTATCACTGTTATCTAGTTTATACGTTAGTTTGTACCGTTTGTTGCTTCAATTAACTCTCAATTAGGAAATCATTGTTACTACCTAAATGACTTGTTAGCAAAGAAAACAACAACCTGTGCTTAAGCTTCAGAGAATTGATATTGTTTTGTCGCATCACAATAAGCAAGACATGGTGACAAACTTTTTTAAGATCAACATCATTCGGCGGATATATATGATATCTACAAGAGCCATTTCAACCTCATGAATTCTCGATTTCATCTTCATGAATTCATAATTTTAACTTCGTGAATTTTCGTTTTCAACATATTGAATTCACGATTTCATGAATTTTCGATTTCAACTTCAAGAAATCACGAATTCAACATTGGGATTCACGATTTCAACTTCACGAATTCACGATTTTAACGTAATGAATTGTCTTAGTTGAAATCGTGAATTCACGAAGTTGAAATCGTGAATTCACGAAGTTGAAATCGTGAATTCATGAAGTTGAAATCATGAATTCATGAAGTTGAAATCGTGAATTCATGAATTTGAAATCGTGAATTCATGAAGTTAAAATTGTGAATTCGTGAAGTTGAAATAATGAACTCACGAATTTGAATTCGTAAAGTTTAAATCGTAAAATTTATAAATTTGAAATCGTGAATTCATGATGTTGAAATGGTAAAAATTCACAAAGATGTAATCGGAATGTTTATTTTAATTTTTATTTGAAGTAATCATGTTCTTAAATTATCTATTCTTGACAAAAAAAATTCAAATACGTCTATATTGTTATATAAAGTTACCACTCTTGTAATTTCTCTTAATACGAGGAAAGGAGCGTGCTTGATTAAAGATTAGTAAGATGACGGAAGCAATAATTATTTGATCTTATTTGTCCTGTGTACATGTATCATATGTAATGACGTTCATGTATAAGACGGAAGTGACGGAAATGAGTGATACATGTCATATGTGATATCAGCATTTTAAATACAAATACCAAATATATTGTACCACTGTGTTTAGCGTTGTCTTATAGTTTCTGCAAGTAAATAGTCACTCCTGAAAATTTATTTCATAATCTTATAATACAACTCGTTTGTAACGTCGCTTGTTTTTGGATAATCGTGACGTTGATATAGTTTTATACACGGCTGCTGTCGATTTATAAAGAAATATCGCTTTACTTAAAATAATGATGTTTGCTATATCATAAACTCGTTATAAATATTTCTGACAGGCTATATGGCCGTATATAAACGGCTGTTTGCAATATAACACTCGAGCGGCTCGTGTTATATTTACAATTAACCGTTTATATAGGGCCATATAACCTGTCAAAATCTTTATAACTAATAATATAACCTTAAGAATTGCCTAAATACATTGATCATTGTTAGAAATGATAATAAGTAAGTAAGTAAGTAAGTAATATATAATTAAAATCACGAATATGTTAAACTTGAAATGCCCTTATTAAAGGAAACGACAATCGAATCAAAGTGCTTGAACTTTTTTATATTGGAAAGGGGAGTAATTACGACAACTTTGTCTGAATAACATTCATCAGTTGTTTCCCTTGATATTGGTATTGTTTCAAAATAGGATATAAAAGGTTGATTTATTGATATTGTGTTAATTACATATTGTTGTGAGGTACAGTATCCGGACAATATCCGGGACATACAGGATGATACGGTTATATGTACGGCCAGAACGATTTATTCGCCAACATTTTGATTTTATAGGTAAATTAGAAAGACAAGATAAATATTCTGCGAGATATAAATTGTCATACGTACGTGAAAAGTGATTCAAGGTAAGCAGGGCCCTTTAAAATTTAGAGACGCCAAACCGGTCACAGTTGCGAAAATTTTGAGTAACATATATGTAAATAAAAAGATAAAGGGTAATAATTTGTTTGGCTCTGAAAATACAAGACAAACGTATACATCTTTTTCACTTTTTTATATTCGTTACATTGCTTACATATAAAATTATATATAACAAGAGATGTGCGAATGGCAGTCTGTTCGACTATTCTCAGTGTTTGAAATATGACAAGGGGCATAACTCTGTAAAAAGGTAACTCAGAGTTAAGGAGCATGTAATATAATCATAGAGAATAAGTGAGTGGAGTTTCAACCCATTCCCTTCAGCAGTTATGGAAATGCCCATTTGCAAGCAAAACTTTACCAGAATATGACCTAAACACCGATGCCGACGCTGGGGGAAGTGTATAAGCTCTCTTTATTGTCTCTAAAAAGGTTAAACATCTTTCAATAAACTAATCCCTGTAACTATTCGCTATTTTCTCCCGATATGTTTGCATTTAAACATATAATCAGTTTTCATTTAAAACACACATTTTTTTTTTTTTTTTTTTTTTTTGCATTTAAACATGAAATACATTTTTCTCACCTTGTGACATTCATCAAACAATTGTAACTACTAAATACTGTGTATTTTGGATATACATTTTCTACATCTTTTCTTTGCTACATATATATTTTTTCTTCAAAACCTTAATACAAAATCAGTAACCAAAAAAATAAGAAACAGACATGTACTTGACTATACAATATTTAAGAGTGTAATTTACTGGCCTAATGATTGTAATTTGACAATGAAAGTATCTAAAAATATCTAGAAATGACCGAGATGATTTTTATGAAGAAATGATGACCATGAAATATGAAATAAAATATCATTTTAATTGATTGAGCACCTTTTTGTTTCTAATTCAACATCAACATTTATTTTTTGTATCTATAAACGTGTGTTATCGGATTTCTCGTTATCAACTGAATATTGTTCTTGTTGCACATTAGATTGTTTGTTGCTTTCGGCGTTCTGACCATTCATTTCAACCTCATCAGTATGGTTTTCCCTCTTCAGTGAAAATCTCGGACAAAAGGGCAAATAACGGAAAAATCTGACTCTATCCAAATATTTTTGAATGAAAGGGAGGTCATAAATACGCATAGAGTTATCTACTCCTGTTTCGTCTACAACATGTACATGTCTACGCCATTTGTTGATTCCCCGTTCTTCTGCAGTTCCTGAAAATAAAACAAACAAAAAATGAAACTATAACATATAATATTGTATAGAAAATCTAAAACATAAAATCTACATACTAAGTCAATGTTATATAAGTATCATCAGAACTCTACAGTTGCATTAATTAAAGGTAAACTTCTATATTTTGTATTCAAAATATAAAACAAAATGTAATAAATTACATTACTACATATATTTGTCTTTTTAAATATAAACAATATAATATGTACGTGAATTCATCATATACAACATTTAAAGGGAGATAACTCAAACAATACTGTTAGAATTACCTTCAGTAGTTTTTTCCCCTTGAAATATGACACTTTAATTCATGTTATTGGTTTAAACTATGAAGAAAAAGGAACGTACCAGGAAGGGTCATTACCTAGTTTTTACCATAGATATATGACATATTACATTTACTTGCTCTAATTTCATTTAAAACACACATTTTTAATTATTGACATCAATTATTTCGTTTCAAGTGTACAGCCGCAAGAATTATTGTTTCCAAAAACTGCATGTATGAAATTGCTGCCACATTCTATGTTACAACTCTCTTGAAAATTAACCATAAGAATATAGTTTTTATAAAGTTTATGAAAATATTTCATTAAATATAGCTTTATATCCTTGAAACTAAAGTAAAAACATATGAGGAACTAACCAGGAATGGTATTATCTAATACAAAGCCGACAAAGCCTCCTACAAACATGCTAGTCCCTAACAACACAGATATAATCTGGTCCGCAATCTCACTTCCTGTAATAATGTATAAAACAAAGTCCATTTCATTAAAGGAACTCCACTGAGGTATCGAGACATAAAAACATAAGATTTGAAATTCTTACAAATAACAAATCAAGTACTCAAAATTGGAAAATCTGCAAAGGATATTCACGTTATGTCAAAAACTCAGTAGTGTCCCTTTAATTATATACGTGTTACTATCAGAATTTTACAGACGTTTTATTTTTCAATAACATTTCTTAATTATTTCTAAAACTGTTATCTTTATTTCTCAGATACAAATACTTTAAATACTAATTAATGCATGTTTGCAATTTCTTGAGGAAAACAATGTAGTCATTTCTGAGGCTTCTTTTAAAATAGTCATAAGTTTATCTTCCTACAATGACCTGATCTACTTTAATAACAATAATGATACATTTATTATAGTTGGAAATTGTGATATAACCGTTATTAAATATAATATTGTTACTCAACACAATGCTTATGATGCACACTATAATAAAACTATTTCTTTATTTTTCCTCATGACATAACATATGACATTTCCGTTACAGACTATGTATATAAATCATATACTTATTTGTTCTTACATCCGTATGACTTTTTTTAACTTACCATCATATCTTAAGATTAATCTTAATATAATGTAGGCATATTCTCTTTTTTCTTATTCCATAATTATAATAAAAGGCTTAAAGAAATAACTAACCAGTATTTATTGCACCCGGTGAACTTCCTATCCATTTAGGAAAACTAAGACCAAAGAATAAGGAAACACCAAGAATAAAAATGTTCCTTGAAGAATTGAGATTCACATACTGAAGATTCGATAATCCAACGGCTGTTATCATTCCTAAAATAAAAAAAATATCTTAATTTATCTGTAAATAAAATTATCATTTTATATTTTCTCTTTATTTCAACATTAGAAATATTAACCCTTTTCGTTACATTAAAAGTGTCTATAATAATAGTGAGTTTTAAAATTATATGTACACAATATAAGCCTTTCATAAACAATAATAACACTATACGTTCAACAAATTAAACATTTATCTCGAAACCTGTTTTCTAGTCCCATCATGTCAAAAAACACAGTTGAGTTCCTTTAATACTTACCAAACATGATCATGAACATTCCACCGACTACAGGATCTGGTATTGTTACAAAAAGGGCGCCAAATTTACCCAGACATCCTAACACTATCATTATTATGCCTCCAACCTGTACCACAATACGACTGCCTACCTGAAATAGGTAAATGAATGTATTTTTCAATCACTTCTGAAGAAAACAATTGAAATATTTTTCAATCACTTCCGGAAAAACCAGAAACACCAATCTTTTTTACAAGAAACAACAATCTCATTTACAAAATGTCTTTGTGGGTTTTTTTTATGTAATACTGAATCCTTGCACATGTATTTAGTGTATAGAACTACTGTTAAGTTGTGTTATTAGTATTTTGCTAATTTTTCATTTAGGAGTAATTCTAACATCTATATTTCCACCTAGAAGATAATAATTCCGGCCACAAATATGTGATATGAATTACATGTGTATCATAAATATTATGCCTCAAAAATGATTTTTTTCCTTTTTTTAGAATGGGCACACTAAGTTTTATAGAATTTTATATAATGTTTTTAGAGCATGTAAGATGCTTATCACTTGATGAAAATAGAAATGAATGTGACATTATTTGTCATAAAAATAGCAAAATGTAAATAAAGGAGTATTTTGACTTCCATACACTATATCTAGCTAATTGCCAAAAGGCAACAGAAGCAAATGATGGTTCAGGTAATTGGCCAATGAGTAACTTTTTGGAAAATAGAACAGGGCACCAGCAATAAAATATTTTGAGAAATGAAAATAAACGTATTTCTGAGTCATAATGGACCTTTGAATAAAAAAAAATAACATTTGCAAAGGCATTACGTAACATTGAGGTAAGAAAAATAACAATTCAAGGTATATATCTTATTATAAATATATATCACCTTAAGCATGAACGCTTTTGCAACTTTTTTCTCAAAAGCATTTACCTGTTAACATACTGACTGTGAATAACATGCTTTTTTAATATTAGAAAATATTTAGAAAGTAGAAATACCTAATCACTAAACTGATACAATTCCGGAACAGAGATTGTTGGCTTTTATGAATTATTATCATCAAATGATAATTTTGTAATTAAGAAAAGTTTTGCTTATATTTACCACCTCGTGATCTCTATAGCACAGTAGATAATTAAATGTAATAATAATTTATCATGACTTATGACAAAACCTTAAAATGTTAAACATTACATTGTGTAAGATATGTGTTTGGGTCTTTTATTTACTGAATAAATCCTTGACTTAACTATTAAATGATATAGTAATAAGGTTTAATTACCTTTGTGATACCTATAGCTCCAACATTCTCGCTGTACGAGGTTGTGCCATTTCCAGACCCCCAGGCCCCGGCTAGTATACAACAAATACCCTCCATACCTATGCCTGTGTGATATTATATATGCTAAGATGCTGTATATATACATGATATATATGCACTAGAAATGTAGATATTAAACAGAATAATAAATAAATTAAGATAAACATTTTCCAACTTCTGTCAAGTTTACAAAATATAGATGCATGTTTATTTTACACCAAGTACTGAAGCTATTTCAACTTGTAGAGATAAAATTGACCCACTATATATGTGTTTATATAGGAGATTTTATTTTTCAGTTTTGAAAAAAAATATTTAAATTTTGAAAAGTTTTTAAATTCTTTCATAAAATATTCATCGTGGCATTTCGGTTAGTACATGTCGGTGTAAAGGTTAAGTGTGACATATCCGGTATTGAATTGCCTGAATAATACATGTACTTAGTTTGATATTTGCAATATCATATACCGATATTTTTGTTACATTTTTTCCTGTTATGTATGGTAGCTAATTTGTGTCATATCGTATTTTCGTGTTTTTCTCTGGCGCTGCGAGGAGCAAAAAAAATACGACATGGCATAAATCAGCCACCATAGTTATACGATATTTCCTTTAAGACTTGCATTTATTCCAGTAATTATCTTTGAAGTAGCTTCTATTGTGTAAGTTAAGTTTGTGGTACATGGTCATAACATATGATATATTATATTAACAGTAAATGTATATTTAGAATTGTGCATTTCATTTATAAAATATTTTATTTCATTGATAGAAGTTGCAACAGGTTTAAGAAGAAAGTCTAAAACTTTTGTAAATATTTCGTCTGCGTTTGGTAAAATGAGTCAGTTTTAATTTGAAGTGTGTAACTCAACTTAGCCCACTTAAGTCGTGTATGAAAATTCCTCGTTATACATTAATGACCTAATATAATTTGCAAAGTATATGTACTTGAACGAGAAAGGAAAGTTCAAGTTATTTTTTTATTAAAACTCACTCAAATTATTATTTAAGTAAATAATAGAAACAAATTAACTTACAACTGATCATAATCTAAATACACGTATATTACAATTATTCATTTAAATGATGTTGCCACGTCATTATTATTTCGTGTCATTTGTCATGGACATATTCATTACTGTATATCCTTTTTTTCTTTTCTTTTCTAAGAAGCTTACTCAAAGGAAACAATGTTATTGGGTAACAATTAATCTTAGTGCATCTTGATAAAGAATGTTATCGCTTCTTGTGAAGAAAAATAAATTTCATCTCATAATCTGCAGGGAAACTGCGACTAAATGTTTTATCTTAAATGTTAAAATAGAAAATATATAAGAATATTTAATCAAATGACATGACTGGTAACATGTCCAAGGTCCGTACACTCAGTGCCTGAAAGGGCACATGGGCCCTTATTACGATTAAAACACAAATATTTCTGGACAAACCTCTATTGACAGCATGGACAGGGGGAGGCGGGGCTCCTGCAAGTCTTGCGCATGCGTAGTAATCACCAACAGATTCTATCATAGAGGATAAAACCCCTGCCAGCATTCCAAATACAGCAGCCGTGCTCACAGTGGGCATTCCCCATTGTCCTGAAATAAACGGAGAAAGTTATGTGCGCCCGGCTATTCTGAATAAATGACAGAAAAACAAGGGCATGTTGGTATTTTCTTAGTTCTGAAAGATAATTCAAATTCACTTAAAATACAATTTAGAGAAAAATGCATGGCCCCTCAGACATGCTTAAGGTTTAAAGAAATACTAAAGTGGCACATGACTCATTTTAGAACTGGTTTATGGTCTTACCAGTGTCCTATTGACATAAAACAAAGACATCTATGATATTAAAACTGAATTATCTTAATTAAAAATAGATTATCTTTAGTAGTTAATAAGAGGAAATAATAGTGCTCATTTAGTGAGGAAATAGTGCCAAATGTCACGTTGCCGCTAACTTAGTGAGGAAATAGTGCCAAATGTCACGTTGCCGCTAACTTAGTGAGGAAATAGTGCCAAATGTCACGTTGGTGCTAACTTAGTGAGGAAATAGTGCCAAATGTCACGTTGGCGCTAATTTAGTGAGGAAATAGTGCCAAATGTCACGTTGGCGCTAATTTAGTGGGGAAATAGTGCCAAATGTCACGTTGGCGCTAATTTAGTGGGGAAATAGTGCCAAATGTCACGTTGGTGCTAATTTAGTGGGGAAATAGTGCCAAATGTCACGTTGGCGCTAATTTAGTGGGGAAATAGTGCCAAAATGTCACGTTAGCGCTAACTTAGTGGGGAAATAGTGCCAAATGTCACGTTGGCGCTAATTTAGTGGGGAAATAGTGCCAAATGTCACGTTGGCGCTAATTTAGTGGGGAAATAGTGCCAAATGTCACGTTGGCGCTATTTAGTGGGGAAATAGTGCCAAATGTCACGTTGGTGCTAATTTAGTGGGGAAATAGTGCCAAATGTCACGTTGGCGCTAATTTAGTGGGGAAATAGTGCCAAATGTCACGTTAGCGCTAACTTAGTGGGGAAATAGTGCCAAATGTCACGTTGGCGCTATTTAGTGGGGAAATAGTGCCAAATGTCACGTTGGTGCTAATTTAGTGGGGAAATAGTGCCAAATGTCACGTTGGCGCTAATTTAGTGGGGAAATAGTGCCAAATGTCACGTTAGCGCTAACTTAGTGGGGAAATAGTGCCAAATGTCACGTTGGCGCTAATTTAGTGGGGAAATAGTGCCAAATGTGTCACGTTGGCGCTAACTGCGGTGGGGAAATAGTGCCAAATGTCACGTTGGCGCTAATTTAGTGGGGAAATAGTGCCAAATGTCACGTTGGCGCTAACTGCGGTGGGGAAATAGTGCCAAATGTCACGTTGGCGCTAATTTAGTGGGGAAATAGTGCCAAATGTCACGTTAGCGCTAACTGCGGTGGGGAGTCTTGCTGTCTTCTTATAAGTGAGGTCTCGTATAAAAATCATTCGAGTGCATAGCGTTGGACCGTAAGTCAGACGTTTTTGGGTTGATTCCCGGACGTTGCAGGTCGTTGTGATTTGAATCCTTTCTACGGAATTTCAGAATGTATCAAATTGCAAGCAGGACTCTATAAAAGAGACAATCAATGTTTACTGTACAATATATATGTAACGAAATTTACCTGGCCATGGAAATCGGAACCATTCTGATTCATATAATACATCTACTTTAATATCCGTGCGTGCGTTGTAACCCCATTGTCCCTTCTTATCAGGAAGTGCCCCGGAGACCGTCAGAATCACACAGATGACCCAGGACAAAATCATGGCAAGCAAAACCTGTTTGTTGTTAATAATTCATCAATACAAATAGATGCTACGTCATAAAATGACATATCACATCGCAAAAATTGAAACATTCAATTAAGTAAAAATGTGCAAAAATATAGTTCATTGTGAATTGTTTATTTCAGATTTAATAAAACAAAGAAAATCATGATATGTGTTGTTAAACATGAGCGTAAAAAAATCGAAGGAAACGTGATTTAAAACCATCATCATGAAAACAATTTATTTGTCAGATATCAACATGTGTTAAGAACATGGCAAAGAACTATAAATACAAAGTACAATAAATACAAAAAAAATGCTTAACTTGTATAAGTGCAAGTTCATTTTTGTATTGGCACAGCACCATTTAATTCTGGTAATATGAAACATACGGCATATGTAATCAGTTGAATAAAAACAAACACTGTTTTTAGCTTTCGACATTAAGTTTTCTTCAGAAAAAAATGAGGTTTATAAACATACTGCACGAAATGCACGTGCAATGGATACTTACGTACCGGAAATAAACTAAAAATTGGAGTTTTAACAACTTTACACCCTTCGCCTTTAACAGCAGAGAAACATGGCACGTTCACATTTCGCATATATTGTGAAAATAACGCTATCAAACTCATTGTCCTGCAAATAAATTCCCCAGAAATTTCTTAAACATAGAAAAAATCATATTTCCTTTGCGAAGAAAGATATTTTCACAGGTTACATTCTTTTCCATAGATGAATTCCTTTATGTTGTTTTGTGATCTTTTTGCGTTTAAAAGTAAATTATATCTTCAATTTGTAATCAAACATATAAACAAAACATTATCGTCTTAAAATTAACTAAATTCACGTATTGTTAACTGAACAAACACCGCATTGACTTATTACATTTTGTTTGTTATAACATCAACGCACTTATGTTTTATCCGTTACCTAATAAAGTTATGTAATAGATTTGTCCTGCTATAAATTTTGAACAATCTATCTTTAGTTTTAAAGATTTTAATGTAAAAAACATTTGAGCTTTCAACGGTACGATGAAGAGGCAGGACAGACTACACGGAACTGCAGGCTGGTCTGGCCTGGCCTGACCTTTTTACTGGTGGCATAAAGCTAAACACAGTTCTGTTCTAGCAAATTAAAGGTAAAGATTATCATTTTATTTTTAAAAATTATTAGGCATACTTACATTAATGCAATATACCACTGCTCCGCCGCTTTGTCGGCGGCTTCTTTAAACAAGGCTAGACCGATCAAAGTGATGGTTGGGGTAATGGCAAGGGGTCCTATAAACTTTAACACCAACCCCATAAGCCCAGAAAATCCGATGAGCACTTGAAATAAAGAGGCAACCATTATTGCACCCTGTATCTGTAATTAATAAATAAACTGTAAAAAGTAATATTTAGTCCATCAACATATGGCTGGTCACTTTATTATATTTATGAAATTATACTTGAAATTGAAGTCAACAAGAATTTGTAACAGAGTTACCAAGGTCCCCCGCCTCAGGGAAGTTTTATATGAAGCATAAAACTGTGCTATTTCAAAAGATTGAGGGGTGGATCTCAGGACTTTCAGTCCAAAATTATGATCAATGCTAGATCTGCAAATGCAACAATGAATTTATGAAAGAAATAAAATGAAACACGGAATTTAAAAATCTATCATGTTAAGCTTTGACCTCTAAGTGTGACCTTCACCTTGGAGGTAGGGGTGTAGGTGTTGTGCATGATATTTTCAAAATCCCTTGATCTTGTTAATATTTGACCTCTAAGTGTGACCTTGAAGGTAGGGACTCATATTTTGCTCCTGACATATCGTCTTATTATTATGATTATTTGTGCAAAGTATTTTCAAAATCCCTTGATCTATGAAGAAGTTATGTACCGGACATAAAATATACCCTATAACAGACTATGTTAATCTTTGACCTCCAAGTGTGACCTTGACCTTGGAGGTAGGGGTGCAGGTGTTGTATTTGACATATCATCTTATTATTGTGACTATGTGTGCCAAGTTATTTCAAAATCCATTGAACTATGAAGAAGTTCTAGATCGGACACAAAATATACCCTATAACAGACTAAGTTTATATTTGACCTCCAAGTGTGACCTTGACCTTGGAGGATGCATGATACATCGTCTTATTATAGTGACTATTTGTGCCAAGTATTTTAAAATCCTTTGATCAATGAAAAAGTTATGTACCGGACAGAAAATATACCCTATAACAAACTGTGTTAATATTTGACCTCCAAGTGTGACCTTGACCTTGGAGGTCGGTGACCGGTTGTTGCGCTCATTATTGTGAACAATTGTGGCAAGTATTTACGAAATCCCTTCAAAGATAAGTAAGTTAAGGCCGGACACGACATATACCCTCAAATTGACAATGTTGACCTTGAATGAGCAAGTGCGACCTTGACCCTAAAGGCAGGGGGTCTGGTTGTTGCGCAAGCCATATCGTCTTATTATACAAAACATTGTGCCAAGTTATTTCAAATTCCTTTGATAAATGACAAAGCTATGGACCGGACACGAAAGTGTTACGGACGGACGGACAGACGGACGGAGCCTATTTCTATATCCCCCTTTTTCTTCGAAAAGACAATAATTGCATATTATGTTTGGAGACCAAGGTGTCGTCGGTAATGAGAACCCAGGAGTGGTCCGTAATCACAAAAAACGACCTGAACGACCTATACAGGAATAAAAACATACGGTGCACCTTTGACACATTCATTCAATAAAATAACATAACAATATAAAATGTATCTTGGAAATCAATTTCTTTTTTTATTATTATTTTTTTTTATTTTATTTTTTTTTTTGTCATTTTGAGTTTATGATGCAGTATTTTAAATATATGGACTATTTTAAATATATCTTATTGTGTTTGGAGACCAAGGTATCTTCGGTAATGAAAACCCAAAAGTGGTCCGTAATCACAAAAAACGACCTGAACGACATATACAGGAAACAGTTATTAATTTAAAAACATACGGTGCACCTTTGACATATTGACATATTCATTCAATAAAATTACATAACAATATAAAATGCATCTTGGAAATCAATTCCTTTTTTATTATTATTATTATTATTATTATTATTATTATTATTATTATTATTATTATTATTATTATTATTATTATTTGCGGAGGTGTTTTGTTTCAAGAAAAAGTTTGATACTGTCATTTTGAGTCAATGATGCAGTATTTTAAAGATATTACACACTATATTTTGACTAAAGTTTATAACGACGTGTGCTCTAGAGTCACATACATGTATAACTCAAATATTATTTAGTGGCACATACCTCTCGAATTCTAAGCTGCCACATTTCTCTATGTAAAGGACTCCCGGGCTCTGGTAAAGTGCTGTTTTCAAGGTACGGGTCAGCTGAAGCAAATATTAAAACATGAAAAGACATTGCTTAAAATGAGGACAATATCTTTTTCAAGATGTCGTATGAAATATAGAGGGCCATCTTCGTATACAAAAACAAAAAAAGCCAAATTACTCGTATACAATAAAATTATTGTCATTTATTTCTACAATATAATTTATAATATTTATAATTCTATGTTATAATTATGCGTATAAATAGAATTAAGTATAATAAGGTTATTATTTAAGATATCCACTTACTCTCTCTTTCTGTAACATATTTACATGTCCATTGAGGTAAGGACAGTATAGAGAATGTTGGTGTTAGAAAAGCAAATGTAGCCCCTTGTATAATGGGAAGTCTGAAAGAGAAAACATAACAGAAAACAGCATTCAATTTGTTTCCAATAGCTAAATAAATCAAACATTTTTCTTTTCATTTTCATTATGCGTGCGTGCGGTGCGTATGTGCGTGTAAAGCTGTACACGGATGTTTATTTCAAGTAGTTATATATACGGATTCTCAGTGTAACAGTGGATAGTGTAAAACTTATGATAATCTGTTCAATTGTCCGCGAGACCACAAATATGCGCCCTGACTGTGATTTGTGTGGAACAGACATATGCGACGAGTTTCACTTTTTATTGACATGTCCTTATAATAATAAGGATATTTTCGACTTTTACTTTAAAAAAATATATAAGACACTTGATATTGATACTCAAATAGGTCGATTACTCCTGTATCGATATACAAATGCATAAAATTGAATTCCTAGTTTTACTGCATATCTGTTCAAAATACAATTAGATCTTTTTTTCATGATTTTTCTATGTTGGTTTAACGTTGCACCAACACAGTATAGGTCATATGTAGACTTTCCAGCGTTAATACTGGAGGAAGATTATAATAATGGTATATGTGTCTAGTTCTTTACAATCACTAAAGATTAACATTTTTAACAGACATAGAAATCAAGCTCATTTTAGAATTTAAGGAACATCCAGGAATAGATGTCGAATAGATATAATTAAAAATTGTACATTATTTGTGTTTGTAAAGAATTGCTACATGATACGTTCTCTTGGTCATTTTGAATTATACATTAGTATCTTAATGATCTAGTTCTCATTGATTTTATAATCTGATGTAATAAAGTATAAAATAGAACTTAATCTGGACATCTCTAAACTAAACAAAACAAAGGAATATTCTCGTTTTCTGACGACCTTGCTCCTCTTGTTATGCACACTCACGTTTGCATAAAGTAAATTAACATAATTATGCAGAAATAAGTTAGTGTAAATTAAGTTTGATAGTTTGTAGAATTTTATCAGGTCATTGAATGAAACAGAAAGAAAGTTGAAATCAAGGACATTGTGTAAATTATGCCAAAATCAAAGAAAGTCATATACAGTCATGTATACAGTGATTTTCATGTTAAAAACGGAAATCCTAACACAAATATAATGAACATGTAATTGTTTGTGCAAATTGCAATAATATACAAAACATGCCTCCCCCCGCCGGCCTCTATTTTACACTTACCCTAACACCCCCTCCCCAAACCTACATAATGGTCAGGAAAACAAAGCAAGATATTATGACCTAAAATTTGGACAGAAGGTTATTCAAAAGTATGCTATGTACATACAGAATAGAGCAAATAAAACAAAAGAAAATATATGTAGTATATGAGATTATGTTTATGAGACTTCAAATGAAGAAAAAGCTTTTTGGATTCCATTAGAATATAGAGAAAAAAAACAGAATCCCTAAAGAAAGCCCAACGAGACAAAATGTTGCAAGCTAGGTTTGAATGAGCCTGTTAATGGATGTTAGTGGTAATTGCAAGCTACCATCCACGTCCCCAAGCACCGGCTTAGTGTTAGGGGCCTAGCCTAACTGAACGCAGTTGTTTAAAATGCATACCTAACACCAAACGTGGACTGCAGACACGTAGATATACCACCAACCATTAAATATGTACCAATTATCCAACTCAACCCTAATAAATCCCTGTCCATGCAAAGTGCAGGTGCTAAAATTAACGGTATGGAAATTTGGCCACTCAGAGCGGTCAGAAATTGTTGAAATCCCAGTAAAATACAGCACACCCACGGGGGTCTTTCATCCACGGAATAGTAAAGTTTTGTTTCATTTGAAAACACTTCGTCATCTTTTAAAAAAGGTTTGTTTTCCTTTTCCTTATTTCCATTCATTTTGCTCATGTACTATTCCGTTTAATCGACTTTATATAACAAAAGACTATAATTTGATCACATCACATTTTAAGTATATTCTTATCAGTAGTCTCTAAGATAAACCAAAGTTGTATCTCAGGCTCAAAAACTTAAGACAACATTACTATTAACGATAAAACATAAGTGTATGTATATCTTTAATTTCATATGTATGGTCATGCTAGCGCTGTTGATTAATTCAAAGAGGTGTCTTATACATGTATAAAATCTTAAATATCTACAGGTGCAGAACATGGAAAAAGGCAAAGAAGACAAAATTATTCATTTTAATAAGTTTGAATGTGTATTAAAACATGACGATTTGTAGATAAGACAAACAGCAATATTCACTGAAGACATAGATATCACTGAAGACATAGATATCATTGAAGACATTTATATCATTCAAGACATTTATATCATTGAAGACATAGATATCATTGAAGACATTTATATCATTGAAGACATTTATATCATTGGAGATATTGATATCACTGAAGACATTGATATCACTGATACCATTGATATCACTGAAGCCATTGATATCACTTACGACATTTATATCACTGAAGACATTGTTATCGTTGAAGACATTAATATCACTGAAGACATTGTAATCGTTGAAGACTTTGTAATCGCTGAAGACATTGTAATCGTTGAGGACATTGATATCATTGAAGACATTGATATCACTGAAGACATTGATACCACTGAAGACATTGTAATCGTTGAAGACATTGATATCACTGAAGACATAGATATAACTGAAGACAGAGATATCACTGAAGACATTGTAATCGTTAGAGACATTTTAATGATTGAAGACATTGACATCACTGAAGACATTTTAATCGTTGAAGATATTGATATCACTAGACATAGATATCACTGAAGACATTGATATCACTGAAGACATTGTAATCGTTGAAGACATTGTAATTTGAAGACATTGTAATCGTTGAGGACATTGTAATCGCTGAAGACAATGTAATCGTTGAGGACATTGATATCATTTAAGACATTGTAATCGTTGAAGACATTGATATCACAGAAGAAATTGATATTACTGAAGGAACCACCTCAACACCGCAACCAATTTCCCTACCTATCCCCCAACTCCCACTTAATACAAAAAAAATCAAAAATAATAATAAAGACAAATAAATCGGCATAAGTTTGGGCAACATGAAATAAAGAGAGATTCTGTGAACACTTCGTAAGGGTGGGGATCACAAATAGTGTATTGCGTATCTTGTAAGGTAGGGGATCTTAATGGAATGACAGATTTTGGAATCGTTTAATTTTGACAAACAACAATATCATTTCTAGGTAAGATTTATACCTCACACCAAATGTGGACTGTAGAAATGTAGCTACCCCGCCGACCACTAAATATGTGCCAATAATCCAACTCAACACTAATAAATCCTTGTCCATACACAACACCAGTGCTAAAATAAGCGGTGCAGATATCTGACCACTTAGCGCGGTCAGAAAATGTTGAAATCCCAGCAAAAAGCAGCAAAGCCAAGGTGGCCTTTCTTAAACGGAATAGTAAAGTTGTGTGTCTTTTGAAACTTCTATATCTTCTTTAATTGACGGTTTGAGGAAGGGCTCGTTTTCTTGAACTTTATGTCCATCCATTTTAGTAACGTGTTATTCTGGTAACGGAACTGTTTTTTATTTAGAATAATTATAATTTTAGCCCAAAAAAATCAACACTAATATCATATAGTTATTTGCTTGAGAACCGTTGTATTTAGCTTGACAATCATAAATTAAGATGTCAATATCCTATTACATAATTATGATTTTAACACATCTGTTGGGTTGCTAATGATTTGCATTTTTTGTCATGAAAACATTATGTGCAGTCATGATAAAACTTTCATATAGCTGCAGTGTATGTATTGAAATATTTGTATGATACATTAAATTATTACATTTTTTTATCTGCAAAGCGACGCGTTGTTATTAATTGGTATGTACGTCCTTTAATAGTGGCACCAAATCTACGCCTTTTTAAACATTTTAAAACTGTTTCATGACTAAGTTTTGAAACTAATATGATGAAACTCATATTTGACAATACCTTTTTTCGTGCATTAACATCTACAGAAGCACAAGGGCGCATTTAAATGCAGAGCTCGTTGTGCAAGTGATATTAATAATGCACGAAAAAGGTGCATACAAGTACAAATACATGTATACGTTTGATTTCAAGTATTCGGTATTTTACCCGTTCATTATTTGCTTTCGAATAAAGAAACCAGTTTTATTATGTTTTAAAGGTGACGAGTGTAATGACATTTGACAGTTTTAATTTAATAGTGAAAATGGCCGACATTGCAGTCAGGTATTTTAACATAACGTGAAACAATCGCGCGTGATGATAACGTGAAACAATCGCGCGTGATGAGTGTTCTTTTCGATTTTTTTGCCGCCAAAAATTCAGTGTGCCTTAGTTTTGCAAAGAAAGGTTTAATTGATTTTCATAATAAAGGATCCGTTTAACGAATCCCGGTACTTGAAGATTACCTGTCATAGGTCAGTTCTATAGAAATGCTGTCTCAAGAACTGAAGGCCTACTACAAAATTTGCCCCTCTTAAAACAGGACTCGAAGTACATATATTACATGACAACGCGCCCGCACAAAAGGCACAGATACAATGCAGTGACCGAGTTTTTGGCGTTTGAAAAATCAATCGTTCTCCCATATCCACCTTCTCCCAAAATTAGCCTTTCCCCCATCCCCACCCCCACTCCACGATCTGTTTCTTATTACCAGAACTGAAAATTTTCCTGTCTGGATAGAGATACGATTCCACAATGCCATTGAGTCTCCAATTTATCAATCCCCATTGTAGAGTATAAAATGTACTTTAAAAGTAGATTGGCCGACTAGAAAGGTGAATTGATGCTGAATAGCGAGTATTTTGAAGGAATGAGTATCTTGATAAAAACAGCAAGTGACATTATTTTAGAACATCCCTCGTGCGCACCATTTATTTTAACTCAAGCCTACCAAATCACATGCAGAAGAGATTCAACCGTTTAAATAAAAAAAAACAAATATAACATAACTACAACTATTTAAACACGTAATCACTGTTAACTGTTTGAATCATTTCCTTATCTTAGAACAGGAAACTATAAATGAGCATGAACACTTGTTTATATATAAACAGTATATAAATAAGGAACACATTTACATACATTTGTATATATATATGTATGTATATCTACTGAAAGGCGTTCCTGCCATGTGTAGAAAATTTGGTAGTTTATCAACTGAAATGGTTATTTAACAAAATACCAAAATGTACATGTATATTACAACCTTAATACAACAGTTATGCGAAGCAAGGAGCAATAAATAAGTTAAATAAAACTAGGAAATGATGATGACGGTGGGGATGAAAATGAAATGGAAAATGATGACGAAAACGGTGGTGGTGATAATGATGATGATGATGATGATGATGATGGTGATGATGATGATGATGATAATGATGATGGAGATGATGATGATGGTGACGACGACAATGATGATGATGATGATACGGTGATGATTTTGGCGATGATGACGAATAAGGCGATAATGGTGAAGACAACGACGGTGATGCTGATGGTGATGATAATGATAATGATGATGATAATGATGATGTTGATGGTGATGATAATGATGATGTCGATGGTGATTGATAATGATAATGATGATAATGATGATGCTGATGATGATAATGATAATGATGATGATAATGATGATAATGATGATAATGATGATGATAATGATGATGATGAGGAGGAGGAGGAGGAGGAGGAGGAGGAAGAAAAAAGGAGATGACTATCACATGCATTTGTTTCTACTTTTACTGACAATAGTAAGAGTACCTGGTTCCGAACGTTGTTTGAAGTAGTGTAGCTAGTCCGGACACGAAGAATATAGTGCTGATTAGCTCACTTAGTCCAACCTTGTCCTCGTCCATACAAAACGAGCGATACAAGACAAGAGGTACTGTAATTGTTGAACCAAAAGCTGTCAGGTAGTGCTAAAATAAAATGTCAATGATTGAGAATATGATTCTACACTATCTATAAGTGCTTACTTAATGTCAGGATAGGAACGCAGTTACCTACCAATAATTTGTTAGATTTTTTTTTCTTGACTGTTCTTAATATTATTACAAAAAGTGGCATTTAACTTATCAGTTATGATTGCGTGAAGCTGAGATTATTTATGACATGGTTTATCCCCTTTTAAGAATATGCTTGTAAATAATTAAAATTTCTAAAGACATTAAAAAACGTAAGGTTATAACTTACAACAATATGTATGTCTCTATTAAAGACAAACATAGATCTACTAGGGTACGATAATTTCTAAGGTTTTTAAAGAAATCTTTTAACATATTTTGAATTATAAGTTTAATCCTCACCTGAAATCCTAACAAAATACATAGATACCAGGGTGGAACGTCTTCAACGCCGTAAATAACGTTACAATCATCAGGCGTTACGTTGCCGACTTCCGGTGCCGTGACGTCATTTCTGCGACTGCCTGTGTCCAGACCACTGTCATGAGTGTCCGGGACTGTCATGTTGAGAGACTGCAACTCCTACACTCGAATATAATATAAAACAATCATATATATAAAACAACCAAATATAAAAAAATCAAATATATTTAGATATAATTTAATATCTAAAATAATCGGTAAGCGGTGAAATACGTCCATTCTCTACATAAGCACAAACGCCTCTTCTCCAAATCCCTGGGCGTGCACGACGTGGAGAAGGCACACGGCAGGTCAAGGTCAAGTCATCTCAAGTACCAGAGATGATAGATTCAGAGAGGGTAGCACTATCATGAGCCTTTTTGTTTGAAACTTGACGCCTTGGGTACTATTGTCGACTATTTCCACCAACGAACGTAAAATCGAATGTAACGTCCCCGATGCGACTTCTAGAAAGAAACGGCATGGACGCTGATGAGTGACAGATGGTTAATTCCGGCGCTTAGCATAAATAAACTGAACTACTAGTACTATATTTGAACATTTTCCTTACCCGATTTGGAACGTCTACGTTATTACAAGACATCTGCGTTTATTATGTTAATTAGTCACATACAATAAATTATTTCATTAAAGTCCCTGCTCATATAATTTTAAATTTTTAATAAATCCGTTTTCTGACGTCACTTTTTATAACTTGTTCTGTTAGACTTTAGTCATGTGCATTATGCCTGTTGTAAAAATGCCAGTTACTGTTTCATGAATGAAAATATTAACTTAAAAAAAAGATTCTATGGAGCGCCGATATTGTCAATGGTAGTATTATTTAAGTAATCTATATTTTGGTACACTTTGCGCGTTACGTTGTCGATAGCGACAACACAACCTATATAGTTATCGCCTTTTCGTCTTGTCGTCATATCGCTAGTGAAAACGGCATGTTGTCGCACTGCCGTCTTGTCGCCCTGTCTCTAGCAAAGCATGCCAAACGGCGCGTTGACCTGTGGCGTGTTGTCATATGTGGCCCTGTCGCTTGACTTACAAGCCAAACACGAGTGAAAATGTGACATCGCGACAATACGCCACATGACAACGCTCAGTTTAGCGTGCATCGTTAGCGACCGTTTGGCGCTTTGTCATGCTGTCGCTAGCGACTACACGACGCACAAAGCTTTCCAAATCAGTCAACATAACCAATTGTTTTCTTTCTGCCTAAATGTCTAGGGTTAGAAAGCAATGCTAACTTATTATGCAGGATATACCATTATAGAAAGAAAACATGCTGGTTCGGTAGAATTCCGCTGCCGATTATTAGATATGATACCTTGTCTTTAAAGCGGCCTTCAGCTTTTATATTCTGTTGTGGAAAACACTTTCTAATTTAAATATAGAGAGAGGACCGGTAGGTAAGAGCTATCGAGGGGTTTCCTTATTGTTTATGTATTTTATCGTCCCAAGATTCCATTTTCCATCTTAATTTTTTTTATTTGACAATGATATGAAACGAGTTATCTAAATATCTTAAAATAACATCCCTTAGTAGAAAAACAGTGGCACGAATCGCGAGATGTTTAAAACAAACATATAAGATAGAAGCGGCGTTCCATAGTTCGATCAGGAAATATAATAAATACAGTACAAATTATTTCTGGTTGAAACGGCCATATAGTACAAAACACTGCTAATTTTTTAAGCATCTCAATTGTTTTAAACAATGGTTGAAAACTTTTATCATAGCAAAACAAATCAAACAAAAACCCAAAACTCTAGGAAAAACGTAGTTTCATTCACAGTGCTTATAAAACTGTGATTAATAGCTAGAAAATGTGTTTTTTGCTATTTCTAAATACAAGAATTAACTATATTAATTGTGTTGCTATTACTGATTAAACTATGTTACCGTTACTTTCAAAAGATGGTTCTTAAGGACCCTAGAAAATGTTGGTACAACTTTTGGTCCAATCCTTTTTTATGTATATTGTATTTTTTCTTAAGAAAATGAAATTAAATTGTGTTAATTTATCATGTACAAATATATAATAAATATTGTAAAAAAGTTTATCAAAAAGTTAATAAGTATCGTTAAATGAAATACAATGTACATGTAAATAAAATGTACAATATCCAGAGGGATTTTAAGTGTTCAAATGTAACAATGCATTTTCTCATGTAGTGAAAATAGAAAACTAAATAGCACCGGAAGGAAGTTTTTACTGATATGCCACTTTATATAACGCTGTGTTATTTTAACGAATTTTTAATTAACAAATACCGGATGTTATAATAAGATCAATAAGTGTACAAGACTGGCAGCACGACCACACATAACGAACATGCAAAAAACCTACATCGCATCTTCTCGGCTAATTCCGTCAAACTCCGGATAAGAACTTCGGATAGTAAGTCATTATTGATAATAGCCGAGATGTTCTGATTAACTAATGTTAGGAAATTCAAATTTTAAAGAATCATTTCTATGAAAGATTTTTTAAGTGTTGTCTGCAATATGTTAAAGTCTAATAATGCTCACCATGACTGTTATGTTTTGATATTTGTGTTCCACTTGTTGTACAATGTATGACCTATATACTGCTACTTTGACATTATTATTTTATATGTGTTGCCAAAAGTCATGTTATAATTTGTCGTTCCGAACTGATAATGTCAGATGCAGTGTACTTCCTAAAGTTGTCACGTGACGTCGTAACTCAATGAGTAGTATGAAAAAAGTAGCCAGTGATATATTTTATATACACATATATTTTATATACACATATATTTTATATACACATATATTTTACAATTTATAAAATGTGCAGCATTTGCAACACGTGATGTTCAAATCATTATTGAATTCAATGTTATTAATCAAACCTCATTAAACATTTCCTCGAGTTTAATGCATGTTAAATACCATCAAGTATTTTTTGTTTTCATTTCCCTAGTCCAAAACGTCCATATCAGATCCATATCGTACTCTATCTAGCCTCATTTCCCTTGTCCAAAACTTTTTTATCAGATCCATATTATACTCTATGTAGTCTCATTTTTCGAGTCCAAAAGTTATATAGCTGTATGCATAATACAATACAACACTTTTTGAGTTGAGTACAATACAGATTCTATTGAACTCGTACATAGTTGTAAAACTTATATTAAACTACAAGAGCTTGACATTCTATCAATAATGAAAAATATCAGCAAAAAATGAAGAAATCACGGCAAACATATCCCTCTATGAAATAAATAACAATGTATAACAATCGCGCATGTGTATTTATTTTTATGTATGCAAACAATAAAATAATGTTGCGTTGTGTTCTATCCTAAAATTGTTGAAATTTACAGAAAAAAAGAGTTCTAAAAAGTTATAACATCCTTCCGACATTTGAACACTTTACTTAAAATTTCATGTTTTATGTTAAGATATGATCTAATAACAAAATGTTGCATGCGGACACGCACGATCCTTTTTTTGTCAAGGAACTGTAAAAAAAATTAAGATACAGAAACGTATCATACCTTAAATATCAAGTCCTGTATATATAACATATAACTGTTTACAAACAGTAAAACATCCTAAACATCAACAATGTAATATTGACCTTTGTACCGAGCCTGGCCCATAAAAGTACTGTACTATAGACATACTAAACATGCCCGTGGGTAGGATTTAACGCTGTATGTACAATACATTTCGACATAATTGTGTTTTGACACCTAACTATGCTAACATGATAAACAGAACAGAACAGCGGGTTTATTTAGTCGTACGCATGGTGCAGCATATAGACATAATATGGCAATAATATTCTTATATAAATATACATGTACGGTGTTCCGTTTGGTGTACATGTTATCATATTTATAAGAGTGTTGTATTTTAATCATGGTGAAGTTATAACAGAACAGTACGAATTTCTTTGCATATTAAACTGAATAACTAAAGTAAAATTAGATTTGAGTAAACAAATAGTTTACAAAATAAACATGAATTATTGCTCCTGCTCTTTGGTTTGTTGTCATAATGTGTTAATGTAAACTTTATGGGTTTTTTTGTGTATAAACGTGTATAAATTATGGTGTCCGAACTTGTCTAAGGCATGTATGCATAAATGTATTCTAGGCTTAATGAGAGTCCATCCGCCCTCTCGAGCATCCTCTCCAGTTTTTACCCGAAGTTTGACGGAAAGAGCCAAAGGATTCGATTGACACGGACATGTCACCATTCATGTCCTTAAATGTTTGTAACCTATAAATTTTGAATTCAGTAATTCAATGAATGATACAAAATATGTATGGAACTCGATTTTTTTTATGTTTACTATTTTGATGCACAGGAGGTCAATGAGACCATTATACATGTATAAATCTATTTCGTATGCATGGTCGACGTGCAAGAGCATTCTACAGACGAATTGTGAATAAAAAGGCGGATCCTTTATCAATTTTTATAATAATGAGAATACCACAAACCGGTGAAATATACATTACATTATAATACAATGTACATAGAAGATTCAGCAAATGATATAGAACAGAACCGTTTATGTTGTTTTTTCCTTTTCACATTCCATTGAGTGGGGGGGGGGGGCTTGACTCCCTTCACACTTGACAATTTATATTGCTTGTTTGCTAATGCACCTAAATGAATGAATTGATGTAAAACCATTTTGAAATGTTAACAACCTTCTTATAAAAACGACCAACTGTTTATCACTAAACAAACATTCTAAAATCCGGGAGAAAATCTTATGCAAGGTCAGTGATAACAGATTATAGTCTAGTCTAGCTGTTTATTTGATTCGTATTCTAAATTACTATTTATATTCTATATATATAATATAATTCTTTATATTCTATATTTTATTTTATTCTGAGAATGAAAAAACAACATGAATTTTTATTCCGAGTATAGTTAAGCGGATTCAAAGGGAGACAACCGATACATTTTTAAAGATGTTTTGTATTCAAGAGTTATGTTTACACAACAGCCTAATCTAAAAAAAAGAAAGAATTATTTGTAAGAAATTTACACGAAGGAAAAAACTGTTTGTGTTGGATATATTATATATAAGTTATAAATTTAACTTTTTTGTATG